AGCACCAGACACAGCAACAGGAAGCAACCAGGTCGGTATAGAGGGAACCCTTAAAGCAAACACATTAAAACACATTAAATCATTGCTTCTCAAAATAAGGACTGGTGAGTCTAAAATATATCATACCTGTAAGCCCCGTTTGAGACGAATGGAAGCCCTCAAAGCCAATGCCACACGAGGCGTAGTCAAAGAAATCCCACCCAGTAGAACTATAAAAATCGGGATGATGAAAAAAGGTGCAAAACTGAAGATTAGGACAAAAATCCCACCCAGAAGAACTGCAGAATAAGTCAGGATGTCACATAAAGGCAGACAGGGGTTCTCTCCAAATCTTCTTGAAACAGTGCAGGCAAGGAAAGGGAAGCACCAGAAGCCATAGCAACCTGGGGAACATATAAACATAGTGATTCCTAGCAATAAAATGATACAAGATGACTGGAAGACTCATTTAATTTAAAAGAGACGAGAGAATGAATCTTACAAGTACTGACATCTTCAAAGCAGTCAAAGAGACCACTCTTCCATTGTTTTAGGGGAGTTTCTGTCATCTTGTCCTGAAGTTTTGTGTGACCAGAAAAACTCAGTCAGCTCTAAAGTTTCCTGGTATGCAACACCTGAATTGATACAAGTAATACAAGACATGGAATATTTAATTTTCACTTTGTTATACCTAAAGGATAAAGTTGTGAGACCAAACTAATAAAATTCCTTGTGTGACTGTCAAGTTTCCTTTTTTCCAGGAGATCACTGGTAAGATAATGCTTTCAAAAAAATTCCCTGCATAAATTATAAAAGTTCTTCCAAATTAATGCATTTGTCAACATTTCAAAGGTGAAATATATCTTTGCTGAGTTCATTCAATCTAAAATTTTAGCAGTATTTGAAATAATTGCTACCTCTCTATATTATGTAAAAGCGGTTTGATCATATAATACATTTTTATTCATAAATATCCCAACACTTTTATTAGGTGATAGTTCTAAACATGCATTGTTGCTGTCATTTATTAGTGATGGCATTCAATAAGGTCTTGAGCACTAATGAGGGCAGTCAAACCTGTGCTGCAATATATTATTGTTTGCTGTGTATGGAAATAGCTTTGTGTCTTGCAATACAAAATACTTAATAATAAGAAAATTTATGTATTAAAAATACATTGGACTTTAATAATCAAATAAAGTTTTACCTGATGAATCTGCAGACTGTGGTCCAAATCTTAGTTATCCAAAATCCAGCTATTGCTTGGAGGTGTGTGGATAGATAGCTGGTTGTGTAAGGTATGGTCTTTCCTGACTCATTCTGAACATTGAGGAAATGTGGATGCAAACTCTAAGCTTTAAGTTTTGGAAATATGCTAATCTTTCTGAAATATTTTGGGACTGTACAACATTTGCATACACACTACAGTTGCTTCCATTCATTTGCCATTTGACTTGCACGAGTTGCTTTCTGGAGTTTCGCTTAAAACTCCAAAACACAAAATGAGCTGATACTTATTTGATTTATAACTAAATCAGTGTCTACTGGTGCTCAGTGGGTGGAATGGATGTCTTGCAGTCTGAAAGTTGTGGGTCTGATTAAATTTTCAATGTGACTAATGTCAACGTATCACTTAGCCCCTCGTCTACTGGTTAAGTTTATTGGTGTGTAAAATATGTGTGTCACTCTAGTGTGAAGCACTTTTAGTGGATTGGATGTTTAGTCAAACACTGTATAAATTTAATCCGTCTAGATCCCTCTACATTTGAGTCGATAGATTCAGACATGGACCTGTATCTTTTATCTTTGACGTTTGTTTTTAATAGTATATGACAAAATGCTTGTTGTTTTTAGAGAAAACTTTGACAAACTCATCTAGGGAAATTATGTTAATATTTTGCTCACTTGTTGTGCCCAGGTGAAGGCACAGCAGTGGTTTTTGACAGACTGAAGACTAAGCATCAGAAACCTAGTATCAGTTGTAAGGCTTTTGTGGTACTCTTTCTTTTCTCGGCCAAGTGTTTGTATATTACCAGGGTTAGCAAAGCTAAACTCTATATGGAAAGCATGAGACTTGCTCCAAATATCAATTGAGTGGCATGCCTCCAGATCTCGTTTAAAATCATTATTTTCCACCATGGAAAAAAATAGTTTAACTAAGCGAAGTAAAATTGAAAAGTAATGTGATATTCTTGAACATGTTTACATTTTTGACTGCATCTATAAATGCTGGTTTCATAAAGTCTCACCAAATTTTCTGTCCTTTTGCAATATTTAATTTTCACTTTGTCATACATAAATGACAAAGATATGCCAGAAGGCGCAATTCTCACATGGGTTCATGATAATGGCAATGGATTCATGGATCCTTTCATTTATTGTTTTTCTTCCCCAATTAAAAATATAAAACAAGAAAGAGCTTAGAAGACTTTCTCAAGACACCTGAAATTTTAGTTAACATGCTTCAGACTATAATAAATGTTCTATTCACTAAAAATATTACAATTAGAACATTTTTCATTCAGCTTTGAACAAGTGTTTAATCTATTTGAATAGCACCAGCACTACTTTTTCGCACTAAATACTCTGTTTTTAACATGACAACAAACTAGATCACCTGAACCAAGCCCACATGTAAAGATGACATGCAAATCTGCAGGCAAATAGGGATGCTGTTGCTGGGACACGGTCCTGTTCAACTTTTAAAATAATGTTGATATTGTATTCAGTCTTCCACAGACACTGTATTATATTAAAGGAGTTCAAGAGAGAATTTTAGCGGCTTTGGCTTAAACTGCATTATGATTTAAAGAAAATGTTCACTTTCCAGCAGATAAATTCATTAGTTACTTTTTGTCACTGTTTTCCTAATTTAAAACTAAAGTGCCATAAAAGGTTTATTTGCTATGAAAATGCACAAATACCTGCCTTAAAATGCCAAAAAAAAAAAAAAAAAGGGAGAGAGTTCCTTTCTCCAAATCATCCAAAACCAAATTTAAAAAAAGTAAATAAATTACCGGTCACTAAATTTCCAGTGGCATTTTCAATTAAACACACTAAACTTTTAGGTCCCATATTAGGTTAAAAAACTGTTTGCTCTTGTAATGTCACAATGTTAAAAGTTTTCCAAAGTAAAATTGTTTTGTGAAATCCTTCATTTGTTTGGATTATTACCACATAAGCTAAGTAACCAAATTATTAGTTTACAATTAATTTACTTTATTTTTTGCTAGATTATTTGAAATATTTAAAAAGTCAAGACAGAACTAGCTGGTTGTCAAATTTGGTTCAACATTCATGGACAACTTGTGTCATTACACTGAAAACTGTGGGCTCCCATTTGTTGGATTGTCTAGAAAACACTGCCACCTTGTGTTCATTTGGCAAAATTACAACAACTCTTCCTTTGGAAAACTCTTCCTAAGTTTATTGAATTTCCCAACATTACAACAACTTTATGATTATATACATACTGCAAAAAATAAAAATTTGACATTTGCTATTATTATTATTATTCCCGCTGTTATTATTATCGTCATACTTTTGTGTAAATTGTTTATATTTTGATAAGAAATAGTATAAGATACAAAAGAAATGAGAAGTGTATTATGTAAACATATATTTCCTACTTTTACAGTAAGGTAGATTAATTTATTTTATGCACACAACTGTGTGCAAATACCTCTCAATAAGTAATTTATAATTTCTTAATATAGGTTTGTGAGCACAATCAATCAAATCTGACCGCTGGATAAAGGGGATATACTGTATTGAACAGAAGCTACATAATGATGAACAAACTGTATCTAGACTGTTGCAGATTTCTGCCCAGGTCCCTCTTGAAAATAATATCTAGGTCTCCACTGGGTTGACCTGGTTAAATGAAGGAAATAAATTGTAAAAAATAAATAAAAAATCTATGGAACACATTACTTAACCAATGGTTAAAAATTGCTCACCTTTTCAAAGCAGCTCTGAATGTAAAAGTCAAATATTTTGTCACCCAAAGAAAAGTGTAATGTCTTTATTATTAAAAGTAGAATTAGCCGAGCTGAAGGAAAACAAAGAAAAAGGAGAAATAAATATTCAATGATACAGAATCGAATCAGCAAATATGAACTTAGAAAACTATTGAAACCTTAAAGAATTTTATATTGTGTAAGATATTTAAGAAAATACTGATTCCACACTCATGAAATTCTTTACTTGGTTGCTATCTCTAAAATACGTTTTTATGTTGAACACCAGGCATCTCACCTCTTTCCCACAGTTTTTCACTTTGTTTCATGATTGCAGTGGATTTTATAATCAGTGTCAAAAACCAGCACAGAGTCTGAAGCGATGGAGGAAATTTACGTCAATATGGAACCTGTTGGACAAAGTGCATCTAATAACACAGGTAGTTACAGAGAATTCTAGTATGTATTTAATTTCATTTTGCTTAGGTTCAGGTTTTTGTTCAGGTTGGAGCAGCTTCAAAGAGGCTCTGCCTCGGGGTGGCTATACTTTTGGCAATCCTGAATGGTTTACTTTTGACTGAATGCATCGCCCTCAGTGTACACAGTGGGTTTCTTTCTAGTCATCTAGAAAGAAACCCATGTTTCTTTCTAGACGAAAGAAACATGGGTTTCATGTACTCATGTAAAATGAGTATGTTTTATGTTCTGTCATAAGAAATGTGATCAGTTCTTTTCTGAAATCAAACTCATAAAATAGCAAGGGTTTAAAAAAGAATAAAGCTTGGTGACTCAAAGTGTTGCAGAGAGCTGAGACATTACAGGATGTTACATGAGTTTGAATTATTTTCAGCAATGGTTGCATTTGCAGCCATTTAGGATAGCATGCTTCCTCTTTTTAAACTATTTACCAAACAATTTACTGTTCAGCATTACCTCAGTTTAAATTCTACAGGCATAACCAAAGTCATAAAACTATTTTATAAATCTTAAGTGAAAAGAGGATGCAACTTGTTTTTGCAAACATATTTGTTGATTTTTTTTTCCATCTCATGACATGACAGCAGATTTTTCTGACATCAGCAACATTCTGACTGAGCAGAACAGCAAGGAGGCAGTGACTCAGGAGGAGTGAAAAACTCTGACCAACCCACAACAATGTTGTAATTAAAGGAAATTTACAGTTTTTAATAATAAAAATGTTTAAAGTAATCTGGTCAACTGCAATGAGGTGCATAAAACTGATTTCCTGAGTCAAGTAGAAACAATGAAATTCAGTAAAATACATTGATTTTGTTATTGGACTTGTGTTTTTTATTTCAAACTGATTAAACAATTATACAATGTTTATAAGAAAGTTAATATACAAAGAAACTTAAGGTCATATTCAACTCCCATCACTTTTATTTGAAGCATTGACAGTGAATTTACTGGATAAAGTTAAAATTAAATACAATTACATGATTACAACTGATCTGATGAACGTAAATGTTTGCAAATATTTTCATTTTTTGTTAGGAATTCAAACCAGCAGGGGAAGGATTTTAAAATCCATCTGGGGTTTGAGGATTTTGAAACCCAGCAAGATTTTCAGAAAGATTTTCAAAGCCATCAGTAGTTTGAGAAGGATTTTGAAATTCATCAGGATATGCAGGAGGATTTTGACACTCATCAGGATATGGAGGAGGATTTTGAAACCCAGCAGGTTTTGGAGGAGGATTTTGAAACCCACCAGGATTTTGAGGAGGATTTTGAAACCCACCAGGATTTTGAAATCCACCAGGATTTTGAGGAGGATTTTGAAACCCACCAGGATTTTGAGGAGGATTTTGAAACCCACCAGGATTTTGAGGAGGGTTTTGAAACCCAACAGGATTTTGAGGAGGATTTTGAAACCCAACAGGGCCTTGACCGGGGTTTTGATAACCAACAGGAAGTGGAGCAGAGTTTTGATTAACCATCATGACAGGATTAGCCTGCACATTGAGCACAGTTGGAGATTGAGGCATCTGGGGCTGCTGCACCACAACAACGAGAGGAGTATCATCCTTTAGTTCACGATGCATCTGACACCAGGAGCACCAGACACAGCAACAGGAAGCAACCAGGTCGGTATAGAGGGAACCCTTAAAGCAAACACATTAAAACACATTAAATCATTGCTTCTCAAAATAAGGTCAGGTGAGTCTAAAATATTTCATACCTGTAAGCCCCGTTTGACACGAATGGAAGCCCTCAAAGCTAATGCTGCAGGGGGGATAGTGAAAGGAGTCCCACCCAGAGGAATTGTACAACAAGTCAGGATGTCACATAAAGGCAGACAGGGGTTCTCTCCAAATCTTCTTGAAACAGTGCAGGCAAGGCAAGGGCAGCACCAGCAGCCATAGCAACCTGGGGAACATATAAACATAGTGATTCCTAGCAATAAAATGATACAAGATGACTGGAAGACTCATTTAATTTAAAAGAGACGAGAGAATGAATCTTACAAGTACTGACATCTTCAAAGCAGTCAAAGAGACCACTCTTCCATTGTTTTAGGGGAGTTTCTGTCATCTTGTCCTGAAGTTTTGTGTGACCAGAAAAACTCAGTCAGCTCTAAAGTTTCCTGGTATGCAACACCTGAATTGATATGTTGGAGAAATTGTGATATTATTAATCAATTATTTGTTATTCTCATTGATCTTTATAATGTATCTTTAATTGATGCTTTCCTTAAAGTTAATCTCATTATAGAATTAAGAATGTTTCTTGTATTGTTGATTTACTCTGATTCTTTTCTCAGAAGGCCTCACTGACAGAGAGCAGAAACAAAATCTTCCTGCAGGTTTACCTCTTGGTGAAGAGCTCTGCTTCGGTTGAGTTGCTGGCCTCCAATAAAACCATCATTGCTAAGATCACTACATATTTTATTAATCTTTGTGCCTGGAAGGACATTATCTAGTACAGAATGATTGTGTGTTAGTTAGTGAATAACATTTGACGCTGTAGCTGTTTGCCCCCTCCCTTTAGAGCTACAGCGTCCTTGTGATTAGGGATCCTAGAAACAATAAAATAGAGGAGCAGACAAAATGTGCTTCAGAGCGGTATGAGATTGTAACTGAAGCACATCTCTGTCCGTTCTCCTCGCGAGTGAAAAAGAATCTAACTCTTTTGTCTTTTCTGTCTTTGTTAATGTATGTTTAACAGGTGTTAACCCTAACATTTTTGGTCCTTCGAGCCGGATGTCATATACTGGAAAGATTCCGGCAGGTGTGGCGGACCCCAGTAAGACCGTGCGCACGGCAAGAGAACCTGTTAAAGGACTGGGCTCGGCCTGCCTGCTGGGATCTGAAGGTTGACGACACTCCAGGGAAAGACAAGAGAGGGTGAGTGATTCTTCTTTAAAAAGTGGCGAATGACGTTTTAGAGAGTAAGTCATTCTTCTGTGTGAGAGAAGAGTGACTTCTTCTTTGACTGAAGGTTGTTGCGCGCACAAGTGAAAACCCTGTCAATTCTAGACTCTAACAGGTAAAAGTAATGCACAAAATCCGTGGATAGGCTAACGGAGCCTGGTGCTTCAAGGCTGGAGGCCTTGTCCTGTTCTGGGGAACCAACAATTGTACTATTGTGGGCAATGATAGCAGCCCAACTAATACTAGAACTGTTCTGGGTAATAGCAGCTCAAATAACTAATACCAGCACTGTTCTGGGTAATAACAGCATCTCAAATAACAATTGTACTATTGTGGGTAGTAACAGTAGCCCAACAAAATACCTGCACTGTTTTGGGCAGTAACAGCAGCCCAATTACTAATTGTACTATTGTGAGCAGTAACAGCAGCTCAACTAGTACCTGCAGGCTAAACGGATTGCGGAGTCCGGCGAAAACAGGCGCTTAAGTTCCGTATCAGTATGTAAGAGATAAAAATAAAAAATGAAAGAAAAAAAAATAAAATAAAATAAAATAAACTAGAAAATAAGGGTTGGTAAACCTTACCTCGCTGGAGGTCTTGTAAAACCCTACTGGGACGAGGACTTGCAAACCTCACCTGGTTCGGGTTTTGCAACCTCACGTGGTTTGAGATCTTACGAACCCCACCTGTTGTGGGAACGGGGCCCGACGAATACCCGTGGTTAAATGGACGGCGATAACAGGCGCTTCAAATCCGTGAAACCAAAAAAAAAAAGGTGTGTATGTGAGCGTGATTGGAGGTATAAATACCACTTGGTATTTTATCTCATGTAAAACAGTAGGATTGTGAGCAGCAAACCTCTTGTGGATGCACAGGCAAGAACTCTCCACTCGAAAGAGTTGAAGTGAGAGTTACCACAACAGGTCTTTTCAATTGCTGGCCTACTGAATCAGATCTCCAGTTTCTAGGACTCCCTAGGAGTCGGCAAAACTGGTCCAAATTTAAATAAATAAAAAAAAGGGAAAATGAATAAGTAAAAACTAAGCCAACAGACAGTCTAAAATCAAACGACTGGAAGGTTATTAAAGATCAGGATAAAATAAAACAAAAAACAAATTTAAATAAAAAATTGTACGAGGAAGGGTATGATGATGTACAATTTTGGTTAGAAGTAGCGCAAAAAGGAGATAGTGGGGAGAAAGAAATTACAAAAGAAAAGGAAAAGGATCTAGGAGCCTTTTTCCAGGATGAGGAACAAGTGTTTTATCAGGAGAGGAGAGGAAAAGAAGGCTTTAGGGGGAGAGGTCAGAACCTTAGAGGTTTAAAAGGGAGACGGGGGAGAGGAAACTACAGGCACAGTTACTCAGGGTGCTGGTGTTGCGGGCAGGAAGGACATTTAGCCAGAGATTGCCCGAGAAAAAAAGAAAACAAAAAAAAAAAAACACAGGACAGTCAGCATGATTAAGATCAGAGAAATTGGGGAGTGAAGAGGTCCAGTTAAATTCAGGATTTACTTTCTATGGACAGCATAAGACCTGAAATAACTCTCCTAATAAATGGCAAACCTGTAAATTTCCTCTGTGACACGGGTGCATGTAGAACAACATGTAGAGAAAACATTCTTGGGGTAAAATATTTGTGGTGAAAATGTCAAGATCAGCTACAGGAATAAAAGAAGGGGACTTCTTTGTTGTCCAGGGACACAGGGAACTGTATTACTTTTATTCATTGGATGTGCCCAACAAACCCCCACACAACACTGCACAAACACTTCTGGCAGAGGGGCATAAAGCCATTTCTGCCCTACAGGATCAAAAGTCTCCTGATGATTTGCATGTCACACTTTGGTTCAAAACAGTTCCTGGGCCTGATAGGAACTACGAAGCCAGACTCAACAAGGTCACCCCAGCCAAGATAACTGTGACCTATCTGTACACAGACAAAACATGTGCCTGATCCACACACATTGTTGAATTCTCTTAGATCAGATGCAAAAGTATTCACGGTTGTAGACATCAGTAAATGCCTTTTTCTCAATACCAATTGAGAAAGAGAGCCAATTTTGGTTTGCTTTTACTTTTGAAGGGAAAAGATACACATACACCAGACTACTTCAAGGCTACTGTGAAAGCCCTACAATTTTCTTTCAAATAATGAGTGCAAGTATGTAAACTTTTCAACCCCCAGGAGGGAGCCAAGTTTGTTGTACATAGATGATGTTTTGTTAGCCTCTCCAGACAGGGAAACCTGTAAGCAAAACACTTTAGCGCTTCTGCAACATTTAGCTAAAGAAGGTCATAAGGTTAACAAAATAAACTTTAACTGTGTAAACGACAAGTAAAATATTTGGGTCATAATTTGAGTGAAGGAGGATGAACCTTAGCGGAGGAAAGAAAAACGACAATTCTCCAAGCTCCCAAACCACAAACAAAAAAAAACAAATGATGTCCTTTTTGGGGTTGACTAACTATTGTTGAAACTGGGTGCCTAATTATGCAGAAATTGTGACAGCTCTGAATAAATTAATGTATAAAACAGATCTTAAAAATGTCTTCTTTGTTGTGGGCAGATGAAGCAGAAGAAGCACTTTGCAAACTAAAACAGGCCCTCGTGTCAAGCGCTGCGTTAGCGTTACCAGATTATCAATAAAAAAAAAAAAAAACTTTTGTTCAGATGGTGGATTGTAAAGGTCATGTCATGACCTCGGTGCTAGTCTAACAGCATGGTGATAAAATGAGACCAATAGCATATTTTTCTTCAAAACTTGATAGTGTAGCGTGTGCCTTACCACATTGTGTGAGAGCTGTAGTTGCTGCTTCTATGGCAGTAGAAGTTAGAGCTCCTATAGTTCTTTTTCACCCATTAACATCAAAAGTAACACATGCAGAATTATTAAAAGAATTATTACAAGTCGTGCACCTACCAAAACAACTAGCAATCTGTAAATGTGCGGCGCACACTGCAGGGACAGATAAGGTGTCCCTAGGGAATGCTTTCGAAGACAAAATAAAAAAAAAAGCAGCTGAGGGAGAGATAAATGTATTACATGTGGATGAAAAAATTAAATTTATGAAAGAAACTTTAAGAGACATGCAACAATTAAGTCCTCAAAATGAAAAGGATTTATGGATAAAAAATGGAGCAAAATTGGAAAAATTATATGAAACTGAACCTACTTTACCAAGAAAAAGATGTGTATAAATGGGCTGCAATATTGAGCCATGGCGTTTTCGCATGTCTCAACAGGGGGGATGGTAGGATACATCAACATTACACTACTTATGGATTTATTTCTTATTTAAAAAAATTCTGTAGGACCTGTTTGATATGTGCAAAACATAACTCTCAGGGCAATCTAAGATCACTTAGAGGAAAGTTTCCTACTCTGCAATATCCATTTCAAGTAATGCTCATGGACTTCATAGAATTGAATAAAAGTGAAGTATTGTTTAGAAATAATTGATGCTTTTCTAAATGGTTTGAACATTTCACTAAAAACCCAGATGCAGCGGAAAAGCCAACTTGGATACATTTAACACACTGTAAAAAGGTCATTTCATTTCAGAAGTAATTAGAAAGCGAGCTCGGGACGCTCACCGACCTACAGGGGAAAGTCCAGCGTACAAAGGGGGTTAAACCGAATAGTTTTTCCGTCTCAAAACTGGTGAAGATTGTCCACAACCCTGTAGTGTCTTTAGGAGCAGAACGGACTTGCACATTAATGAAAATAACAAGCGAATATATCTTTTTGTTTTTATCTGGGAACAATTCACGTCACGAATAAAAATGTTTTCTTGTAACACTGTTTACAGAATGAGGATGAGTATTCAGGTATGTTTTCCACCTAGTTCTATTATCTTTTTTTTTTAGTCTGCTGGGCAAGCATGACGTCAGCAAAATACAGAGATTAAACTTGATGTATGACAAATGATGTTTTAACACTGGACTGTTCTCTCTGTGAACAATGAATTTAACCCTGTCTTTCGTGCAGATGTCTGGTGGTGGTGCAGTGGTGACAAAATTTTTAATAGATTACCTAGGAAGGTAACAGGGATGTCTGCATTAATTTCTTTATTATTGCCTGTTTCTGTTTATCCAATGACTGCTGATCATCTAATTCATGCTTAACTGATGTTGTGCCTCAGCAGTGACGTCAGTTGCAGAAGCGAGACCTGACCTGGAGGAACAATGATCCTACATACATCGATGCCATTGGTGTTCCCCGTGGTGTACCAGATGAGTATAAATTGGCCGACCAAACTGCAGCAGGATTTGAGTCCACAATTTGTTGGTGGTGTACATTAAACAAAAACGTTGACAGAATCAACTACATCCATTACAATGTACAAAAAACTGGGCAACTGGACACAGGCAGGCTTCGAGGCGGTGCATGAGCAGCTGGCCGCTACATCACTGATGGCTTTCCAGAACCGTATTGCACTTGACATGGTGCTGGCTGAACGAGGGGGAGTGTGTGCAATCTTTGGTGAAAGATGCTGCACTTTTCTACCCAAACAACACAGCGGCTGATGGCAGCCTGACGAAGGCCATTGAGGGGCTCCGTACCCTTAATGGTAAGATGAGGGAGTTCACTGGAGTGAATACTTCCAGGTGGGACGACTGGATGAATGTTTTTGGAAAGTACCGAACCCTTGTGTCCTCTGCTTTAGTGTCGATGGCAGTCTTTGCTGCCATTCTAACCTTGTGTGGATGCTGTTGTATTCCTTGCCTGCGTTCTTTGTTTAATAGTCTCATCACTACAGCAATTTAGCCCATGGGGAACCAGATGATGCCGATGTATCCCTTATTGGCGAGAGAACCTGAGTCTGACAGAGAAAGCTCTGATGAGGACTCTTTTGATGTGTTTCCTGATTCTAAGTTTTGGACTGAGTATAAACTTGAGTGTAAACATGTTTGCTTTCTTAAAAATGAACTCCTAGTTGAAAATTGTTTGAAGTGGCTGTTTAGGAAGGATATGAGAATTAGAACAAATATTTGATAAACAGGGGGGAAATGTTGGAGAAATTGTGATATTATTAATCAATTATTTGTTATTCTCATTGATCTTTATAATGTATCTTTAATTGATGCTTTCCTTAAAGTTAATCTCATTATAGAATTAAGAATGTTTCTTGTATTGTTGATTTACTCTGATTCCTTTCTCAGAAGGCCTCACTGACAGAGAGCAGAAACAAAATCTTCCTGCAGGTTTACCTCTTGGTGAAGAGCTCTGCTTCGGTTGAGTTGCTGGCCTCCAATAAACCATCATTGCTAAGATCACTACATATTTTATTAATCTTTGTGCCTGGAAGGACATTATCTAGTACAGAATGATTGTGTGTTAGTTAGTGAATAACATTTGACGCTGTAGCTGTTTGCCCCCTCCCTTTAGAGCTACAGCGTCCTTGTGATTAGGGATCCTAGAAACAATAAAATAGAGGAGCAGACAAAATGTGCTTCAGAGCGGTATGAGATTGTAACTGAAGCACATCTCTGTCCGTTCTCCTCGCGAGTGAAAAAGAATCTAACTCTTTTGTTTTCTGTCTTTGTTAATGTATGTTTAACAGGTGTTAACCCTAACATGATACAAGTAATACAAGACATGGAATATTTAATTTTCACTTTGTTATACCTAAAGGATGAAGTTGAGACCAAACTAATGAAATTCCTTGTGTGACTGTCAAGTTTCCTTTTTTCCAGGAGATCACTGGTAAGATAATGCTTTCAAAAAAATTCCCTGCATAAATTATAAAAGTTCTTCCAAATTAATGCATTTGTCAACATTTCAAAGGTGAAATATATCTTTGCTGAGTTCATTCAATCTAAAATTTTAGCAGTATTTGAAATAATTGCTACCTCTCTATATTATGTAAAAGCGGTTTGATCATATAATACATTTTTATTCATAAATATCCCAACACTTTTATTAGGTGATAGTTCTAAACATGCATTGTTGCTGTCATTTATTAGTGATGGCATTCAATAAGGTCTTGAGCACTAATGAGGGCAGTCAAACCTGTGCTGCAATATATTATTGTTTGCTGTGTATGGAAATAGCTTTGTGTCTTGCAATACAAAATACTTAATAATAAGAAAATTTATGTATTAAAAATACATTGGACTTTAATAATCAAATAAAGTTTTACCTGATGAATCTGCAGACTGTGGTCCAAATCTTAGTTATCCAAAATCCAGCTATTGCTTGGAGGTGTGTGGATAGATAGCTGGTTGTGTAAGGTATGGTCTTTCCTGACTCATTCTGAACATTGAGGAAATGTGGATGCAAACTCTAAGCTTTAAGTTTTGGAAATATGCTAATCTTTCTGAAATATTTTGGGACTGTAAACATTTGCATACACACTACAGTTGCTTCCATTCATTTGCCATTTGACTTGAACAAGTTGCTTTCTGGAGTTTCGCTTAAAACTCCAAAACACAAAATGAGCTGATACTTATTTGATTTATAACTAAATCAGTGTCTACTGGTGCTCAGTGGAATGGTTGTCTTGCAATCTGAAAGTTGTGGGTCTGATTAAATTTTCAATGTGACTAATGTCAACGTATCACTTAGCCCCTCGTCTACTGGTTAAGTTTATTGGTGTATAAAATATGTGTGTCACTCTAGTGTGAAGCACTTTTAGTGGATTGGATGTTTAGTCAAACACTGTATAAATTTAATCCGTCTAGATCCCTCTACATTTGTGTCGATAGATTCAGACATGGACCTGTATCTTTTATCTTTGACTTTTGTTTTTAATAGTATATGACAAAATGCTTGTTGTTTTTAGAGAAAACTTTGACAAACTCATCTAGGGAAATTATGTTAATATTTTGCTCACTTGTTGTGCCCAAGTGAAGGCACAGTAGTGGTTTTTGACAGACTGAAGACTAAGCATCAGAAACCTAGTATCAGTTGTAAGGCTTTTGTGGTACTCTTTCTTTTCTCGGCCAAGTGTTTGTATATTACCAGGGTTAGCAAAGCTAAACTCTATATGGAAAGCATGAGACTTGCTCCAAATATCAATTGAGTGGCATGCTTCCAGATCTCGTTTAAAATCATTATTTTCCACCATGGAAAAAAATAGTTTAACTAAGTGAAGTAAAATTGGAAAGTAATGTGATATTCTTGAACATGTGTAAATTTTTGACAAATAAACTGTTCTTTCGCAATATTTAATTTTCACTTTGTTTTTCCTAAAGGATAAAGATATGCCAGAAGGCGCAATTCTCACATGGGTTCATGATAATGGCAATGGATTCATGGATCCTTTCATTTATTGTTTTTCTTCCCCAATTAAAAATATAAAACAAGAAAGAGCTTAGAAGACTTTCTCAAGACACCTGAAATTTTAGTTAACATGCTTCAGACTATAATAAATGTTCTATTCACTGAGAATATTACACTTACAACATTTTTCATTCACCTTTGAACAAGTGTTTAATCTATTTGAATAGCACCAGCACTACTTTTTCGCACTAAATACTCTGTTTTTAACATGACAACAAACTAGATCACCTGAACCAAGCCCACATGTAAAGATGACATGCAAATCTGCAGGCAAATAGGGATGCTGTTGCTGGGACACGGTCCTGTTCAACTTTTAAAATAATGTTGATATTGTATTCAGTCTTCCACAGACACTGTATTATATTAAAGGAGTTCAAGAGAGAATTTTAGCGGCTTTGGCTTAAACTGCATTATGATTTAAAGAAAATGTTCACTTTCCAGCAGATAAATTCATTAGTTACTTTTTGTCACTGTTTTCCTAATTTAAAACTATAAAGTGCCATAAAAGGTTTATTTGCTATAAAAATGCACAAATACCTGCCTTAAAATGCCAAAAAAAAGGGAGAGAGTTCCTTTCTCCAAATCATCCAAAACCAAATAAAAAAAAAGTAAATAAATTACCGGTCACTAAATTTCCAGTGACACTTTCAATTAAACACACTAAACCTTTATTTCCCATATTAGGTTAAAAAACTGTTTGCTCTTGTAATGTCACAATGTTAAAACTTTTCCAAAGTAAAATCGTTTTCTGAAATCCTTCATTTGTTTGGATTATTACCACATAAGCTAAGTAACCAAATTATTAGTTTACAATTAATTTACTTTATTTTTTGCTAAATTATTTGAAATATTTAAAAAGTCAAGACAGAACTAGCTGGTTGTCAAATTTGGTTCAACATTCATGGACAACTTGTGTCATTACACTGAAAACTGTGGGCTCCCATTTGTTGGATTGTCTAGAAAACACTGCCACCCTGTGTTCATTTGGCAAAATTACAACAACTCTTCCTTTGGAAAACTTCCTTAGTTTATTGAATATCCCAACATTACAACTACTTTATGATTATATACATACTGCAAAGAATAAAAATTTGACATTTCCTATTATTATTATTCCCGCTGTTATTATTATCGTCATACTTTTGTGTAAATTGTTTATATTTTGATAAGAAATAGTATAAGATACAAAAGAAATGAGACGTGTATTATGTAAACACATATTTCCTACTTTTACAGTAATGTAGATTAATTTATTTTATGCACACAACTGTGTGCAAATACCTCTCAATAAGTAATTTATATTTTTTTAATATAGGTTTGTGAGCACAATCAATCAAATCTGACCGCTGGATAAAGGGGATATACTGTATTGAGCAGAAGCTACATAATGATGAACAAACTGTATCTAGACTGTTGCAGATTTCTGCCCAGGTCCCTCTTGAAAATAATATCTAGGTCTCCACTGGGTTGACCTGGTTAAATGAAGGAAATAAATTGTAAAAAATAAATAAAAATCTATGGAACACATTACTTAACCAATGGTTAAAAATTGCTCACCTTTTCAAAGCAGCTCTCATTATAAACGTAAAGTCAGAAAATTGAGGAGCCAAAAAACCACCAGACACAGTTACTGTATTTTTCTACACACTATATTAATGTTTATTTTCATTGTTTAAAACACTATATAGACAGCCTTCTGTCAAAATTTAATCAGAGGAGTGATTGATGACTGGTTTATGACCCTAACATACTTAGCTTGCAATTTGCCAGTTAGCTTCCCAGTCTGAATTTCTGGGCAATGTCTTGATTCAGTCAATTCCTCTATCCTGCACCTCCTGAACTCCGATATTCTACATCCACTCTGTGAATGTTTTGCTTGCTTGTCTTCAGCATGCTTTGAAGGCAGTATCTGGTTTTTCTTACTTTAACCCGCCCAACTTACACCTGATTGGCATGTTAGCCTTTTGATTCCCTCCCAGTGAGGCGGTGCTTCACAAAGCAAATTGAAAACTTCAAGAATTTCATATTGTGTAAGATATTTAAGAACATTCTGATTCCACACTCATGAATTCCTTTTTGGTTACTATCTCTAAATCCGTTTTTATGTTGAACACCAGACATCACACCTCTTTCCCACAGTTTCCTGGAAGTTTTCAATGATGTCACTTAAGACATCAACAGAAAGTCTTAAGTGAAAAGAGGATGCAACTTGTTTTTGCAAACACGTTTGTTGATTTTTTTTTTTTCCATCTCATGACATGAGAGCAGATTTTTCTGACATCAGCAACATTCTGACTGAGCCGAACAGCAAGGAGGCAGTGACTCAGGAGGAGTGAAAAACTCTGACCACCCCACAACAATGTTGTAATTAAAGGAAATTTACAGTTTTCAATAATAAAAATGTTTTAAGTAATCTGGTCAACTTCAATGAGGTGCATAAAACTGCTTTCATTGTTTCAAGTAGAAACAATGAAATTCAGTTAAATACATTGATTTTGTTATTGGACTTGTGTTAGAAAAATGTATATAAGTTATCTCACTTTTTAGCTGTAACAACAGCAAACCTGCAGAACATGTTATTTTCTCCTTTTCTGTGGATTTGACCTTTCTGAGTATCTGAACTCTAAACGAAACCACACAGCATATTTTTCTTCTTTCCTGTCTAAACATAGTTAACCACATCCTTATCTGTTGGAAAATTTATGCTTAAGTGTGAAGAATTGTTTGCAAAACTAGTCTCGACCGGTTTTTCCCCCACCCCTGTGTTTTTTATTTCAAACAAATTAAACAGTTATACAATGTTTATAAGAAAGTTAATATACAAAGAAACTTAAGGTCATATTCAACTCCCATCACTTTTATTTGAAGCATTGACAGTGAATTTACTGGATAAAGTTAAAACTAAACACAATTACATGATCACGACTGATCTGATGAACGTAAATGTTTGCAAATATTTTCATTTTTTGTTAGGAATTCAAACCAACAAGGGAAGGATTTAAAAATCCATCTGGGGTTTGAGGATTTTGAAACCCAGCAAGATTTTCAGGAAGATTTTCAAAGCCATCAGTAGTTTAAGAAGGATTTTGAAATTCATCAGGATATGCAGGAGGAATTTGACACTCATCAGGATATGGAGGAGGATTTTGACACTCATCAGGATATGGAGGAGGATTTTGAAACCCAGCAGGTTTTGGAGGAGGATTTTGAAACCCACCAGGATTTTGAGGAGGATTTTGAAACCCGCCAGGATTTTGAGGAGGATTCTGAAACCCACCAGGATTTTGAGGAGGATTTTGAAACCCGCCAGGATTTTGAGGAGAGTTTTGAAACCCACCATGGCCTTGAGCGGGGTTATGAAAACCAGCAAGAAGTGGAGCAGAGTTTTGATCAACCATCATGAAATTTGGAGACTGCAGCATCTGGGGCTGCTGCACCACAACAACGTGAGGAGTATCATCCTTTAGTTCACGATGCATCTGACACCAGGAGCACCAGACACAGCAACAGGAAGCAACCAGGTCGGTACAGAGGGAACCCTTAAAGCAAACACATTAAAACACATTAAATCATTGCTTCTCAAAATAAGGTCAGGTGAGTCTAAAATATTTCATACCTGTAAGCCCCGTTTGACACGAATGGAAGCCCTCAAAGCCAATGCTGCAGGGGGGATAGTGAAAGGAGTCCCACCCAGAGGAATTGTACAACAAGTCAGGATGTCACATAAAGGCAAACAGGGGTTCTCTCCAAATCTTCTTGAAACAGTGCAGGCAAGGCAAGGGCAGCACCAGAAACCATAGCAACCTGGGGAACATATAAACATAGTGATTCCTAGCAATAAAATGATACAAGATGACTGGAAGACTCATTTAATTTAAAAGAGACGAGAGAATGAATCTTACAAGTACTGACATCTTCAAAGCAGTCAAAGAGACCACTCTTCCATTGTTTTAGGGGAGTTTCTGTCATCTTGTCCTGAAGTTTTGTGTGACCAGAAAAACTCAGTCAGCTCTAAAGTTTCCTGGTATGCAACACCTGAATTGATACAAGTAATACAAGACATGGAAATGCATGGTTTATTTTTCAGAAACAAATGGGGTTAATAGATTGGTTTAGAAGTATGATATGAATTAGATTTTGCTTAAGTTTAGGGTTAGGAATACGCTGGAATTGGTTACAGTTAAAAAATGTTTGGGTTCGGCATAAATGCAGTTACTAAAATGAATGAAAGTCAATAAAAGTCTTAATATGGATAAAAATACAAATGTGTGTGCATGTGCTTGTGTGTGTGTGTGGCATATGTGTGAGATGTGCATTACTGGCATAGGCTGCCTATGCCTATGATCCATCCAGGTATAACCCAAATCCCTTAGCCCCAAGACCTATTCCTTCCCACACAGAACCACACAACAGCCCACTAAGCCTTCGCCACCAAGACCCCTGGCCCACCCACCAGGCTAGAGATGCAGGAGAGGCACCCCCACCTGGCACACAGGCATCCATGTGACCAGGAGCCAGAGGAGGCCCCATTCTGCCCACACCAATCATCTACCTTATTATAACAGAGGATAATTTAACCTGTTGAGGAAACAAAGAAAGAAAGTAGGGTGCAAAAGCTAATCAGACTGTAGATCTTGTTAATTCTGTGTACATTTTTGACTGTATCTGTAAATGCTGGTTTTATGAAGTCTCACCAAATCTTCTGTCCTTTCGCAATATTTAATTTTCACTTTGTTATACCTAAAGGATAAAGATATGCCAGAAGGCGCAATTCTCACATGGGTGAGAATCTCTCCTAACACCTCTTCCTAAACTGTGCCATTCATTTACTAAAAAGGCTTTTGGGGCGCAGGCAACTCATACCCAGATGACAGGGGATCTCGGCAACAGAAAAATGAATATCCTTGGTGTGAAAAAGGCTGCATGAAGAAAGAATGCCATGCTGAGCCATTAAGGGGCGGGGCTTAGAACAGCAGCAGCATGCAGACGAAGAGAGAAAAAAGGAGTGAAAAAGGAGTATAGTTACTTTCGCATTTGTTCGTTTAACCGGCTGTTGTTTATTGTTACCTTCCTTGATGTGTGTGCGTGGAAATACAAGTAGCCTAAGTGATGTTAGCTGTTAATAATATTGTTTATTTAGCGGAGTATTTTAGTTTTACGCTTAATTAATAGCATGCTCTGTTCACGTGCACACTTAAGAGTTATACACGGTGGGTTTTGTGGCGTGTATGTAGAAACGTGATGTTTAGAATCATTGAGAGTGCAGTTATTCAGTATGTGTGATGTTATTTCAGTCATGTTATACAGACACTGATGCTGTATTGTTGTTTATTTTCTAGAACCACACACAAATACCAAAATAAAGAAATAAACTGCAAGTACGAGTGAAATCACCTGGAGTACGACTCTGCGTTCTTTGGAGTTCTGACCGACTCACCACAGTGTTCTGAAGATCCACACCAGCAAATTCAAGTTCTACTTTTTTCACTTGGGCACAATCTTGTCTTGGTGTGACGAATCCTCCTCCGAATGGGAACAAAGCAGAGTTGGTAGTTATCTTTCAAACGTTCCAAATCTTCATCACTTTTGTGATCTTTGTCCAGTCTCCAAACCCGTTGCAGTAATTCTTGTGATCTTTTGGGTTGAGTGTGGAGCCTCGGTCGAATTGGGAGCCAGAGTTGATGGGCATCGGGTCTTTCTTCCAGCGAAGTGTAAGCTTGTCTTGCCTCTGGGTGCGAAATTCAGTTTCTCTGTGAATATCTGTTCCCCCTGCGTCCGGAGCGCGCATTACAGCCAGAGAGGCGAATGAGGCGCATCTGATCATTTTCACGTTGCTTCTGATCGATTTCTCGGTCAAACAACTCATATAATCATGTCAAGGTTGTAACATTCAGTTTAATTGGCAGATGTTGTTTAAAAACAATTGTCAAATACATAAATAAACGAGGTCTTCTGACGCTGTGTTGTGTTTTTTTAAATGCAAGGAGAATCGCTCTTTTTCCAACTTTTCTCACGTAAGCCTGGCAGAAATAAAAGTCAGGCACCAAACACAGTTTTCCCAACACGTAGTTTAGGCTATATATAAAGATTTTTGAGAATTTGTAAACAGTTGTTCTTTATTCCCCAGGGTTATGGAGAAAGGAGAGGAAAGAATGGAGAAATCCTCTGGGCTCGTTGCCCAGATGTCCCAGTGGTGAGTCAGGCCGTCCACACCCATTACCAGAACAGGTCCTGACTTGCTTTTGAACCCAAAAACTGTCCTTAATACTTTTTATTATTCTGATTTCAGTCTTCTATATAACTCATCAACATAATCACTTTTAATACATTTCTTCAATCATTGCTTCTTAATACTCGTTACTTTTGACTCAGTATTATTATACTTCCAATTGTGATGTTTCACTGATTCATATAATTATCAACAATCAACTTCAGAATTTACTTACTTCATAATCACCAATATTTCAACATAACACATTTTTCCATAATCAACATTAAATCAGCATGCAAGATTACTTCAGTCTCTCAGGCCAGTTATGATCTGTTAAAAGCCAACGAATAAAAATGAGTTTTGAGAAGCGATTTAAAATGATCCAGGCTGCTAGCAGATCTAATCTGAAAAGGCAAAGTGTTCCATAAATTTGGAGCAACAACAGAAAAAGCCCGATCTCCTTTCCTTAGTCGAGTCCGAGGGACTGTAAGTAAAAGCTGATTGTTTGATCTGAGGGTTCTGGACACAGACTGAAATTTTAAAAGGTCCTGAAGATAAGGGGGAGCTAACCCATTTAAAACTTTATAAGTTAATAAAAGAATCTTAAAATCTATTCTATACATAACAGGCAGCCAGTGTAAATTGCCTACCATAGGCCTTATATGGTCGTGCTTCCTGGTTCCTGTAAGAAGCCGTGCTGCTGCATTCTGGATCATTTGAAGTCGATGAATCTGTGATTTAACCATGCCACTATATAAAGAATTACAATAATCCAGACGAGTGGTAATGAAGGCATTGATCAGTCCTTCAAAGTCCTTAAAACAAAAATAAGATTAGATTTTTGCTAAAATCCGTAGGTGATAAAAACTCGATTTAATGACAGAACTAACTAGTTTATCGAACTTTAAACAGCTATCAAAAGTAAAGCCAAGATTCCTAACTGAGGTCTCACAAAATTGAGCTAAAGAACCCATAATCTGATCTGGATTTGTAGTATAAAGACTTTGGACAAATAATATAACTTGAGTTTTTCTTTGATTTAGGTGAAGAAAGTTTTGTTCCATCCAAGATTTAACTTCTGCCAAACAATCTGTCAATAGCTGAAGAGATTCATTATTTCCATTTTTTTATCGTCATAGTTTTGTATAAATTGTTTATATTTTGATAAGAAATAGTATAAGATACAAAAGAAATGAGAAGTGTATTATGTAAACATATATTTCCTACTTTTACAGTAATGTAGATTAATTTATTTTATGCACACAACTGTGTGCAAATACCTCTCAATAAGTAATTTATAATTTTTTAATATAGGTTTGTGAGCACAATCAATCAAATCTGACCGCTGGATAAAGGGGATATACTGTATTGAGTAGATGCTACATAATGATGAACAAACTGTATCTAGACTGTTGCAGATTTCTCCCAAGGTCCCTCTTGAAAATAATATCTAGGTCTCCACTGGGTTGACCTGGTTAAATGAAGGAAATAAATTGTAAAAAATAAATACAAATCTATGGAACACATTACTTAACCAATGGTTAAAAATTGCTCACCTTTTCAAAGCAGCTCTCATTATAAACGTAAAGTCAGAAAATTGAGGAGCCAAAAAACCACCAGACACAGTTACTGTATTTTTCTACACACTATATTAATGTTTATTTTCATTGTTTAAAAAACCATATAGACAGCCTTCTGTCAAAATTTAATCAGAGGAGTGATTGATGACTGGTTTATGACCCTAACATACTTAGCTTGCAATTTGCCAGTTAGCTTCCCAGTCTGAATTTTTGGGCAATGTCTTGATTCAGTCAATTCCTCTATCCTGCACCTCCTGAACTCCGATATTCTACATCCACTCTGAGAATGTTTTGCTTGCTTGTCTTCAGCATGCTTTGAAGGCAGTATCTGGTTTTTCTTACTTTAACCCGCCCAACTTACACCTGATTGGCATGTTAGCCTTTTGATTCCCTCCCAATGAGGCGGTGCTTCACAAAGCAAATTGTTTGTCAAAACTAGTTATCAGGACAGAATAAGAGCTGTAAAATTGTTGAGTCCATATGACCGAGGAGGGAACCGGTTATCTGCTCCAACAATGTATTATCCTTCAGGAAATATATTTTGGACACAAAGAGCAGAAACATCATAACATTAGATGTATTTTTTACTTTTATATCAGAGATTTAAAACTATTTTTAATTTTTGATTCCATGTGGTTGACGGCAAAGTTGTGCTTGAATGTAAAAGTCAAATATTTTGTCACCCACAGAAAAGTGTAATGTCTTCATTATTAAAAGTAGAATTAGCCAAGCTGAAGGAAAACAAAGAAAAAGGAGAAATAAATATTCAATGATACAGAATCGAATCAGCAAATATGAACTTAGGAAACTATTGAAAACTTCAAGAATTTCATATTGTGTAAGATATTTAAGAACATTCTGATTCCACACTCATGAATTTCTTTTTGGTTGCTATCTCTAAATCCGTTTTTATGTTGAACACCAGGCATCTCACCTCTTTCCCACAGTTTCCTGTTGATGTCACTTAAGACATCAACAGAAAGTCTTAAGTGAAAAGAGGATGCAACTTGTTTTTTCAGAATCTTGTCTTGGTGTGACGAATCCTCCTCCGAATGGGAACAAAGCAGAGTTGGTAGTTATCTTTCAAACGTTCCAAATCTTCATCACTTTTGTGATCTTTGTCCAGTCTCCAAACCCGTTGCAGTAATTCTTGTGATCTTTTGGGTTGAGTGTGGAGCCTCGGTCGAATTGGGAGCCAGATTTGATGGGCATCGGGTCTTTCTTCCAGCGAAGTGTAAGCTTGTCTTTCCTCTGTGTGCGAAATTCAGTTTCTCTGTGAATATCTGTTCCCCCTGCGTCCGGAGCGCGCATTACAGCCAGAGAGGCATAACCGGCGCATCTGACCATTTTCATGTTGCTTCTGATCAATTTCTAGGTCGAACAACTCATATAATCATGTCAAGGTTGTAACATTCAGTTTAATTGGCAGATGTTGTTTAAAAAAATTGTCAAATACATAAATAAACGAGGTCTTCTGACGCTGTGTTGTGTTTTTTTAAATGCAAGGAGAATCGCTCTTTTTCCAACTTTTCTCACGTAAGCCTGGCAGAAATAAAAGTCAGGCACCAAACACAGTTTTCCCAACACGTAGTTTAGGCTATATATAAAGATTTTTGAGAATTTGTAAACAGTTGTTCTTTATTCCCCAGGGTTATGGGGAAAGGAGAGGAAAGAATGGAGAAATCCTCTGGGCTCGTTGCCCAGATGTCCCAGTGGTGAGTCAGGCCATCCACACCCATTACCAGAACAGGTCCTGACTTGCTTTTGAACCCAAAAACTGTCTTTAATACTTTTTATTATTCTGATTTCAGTCTTCTATATAACTCATCAACATAATCACTTTTAATACATTTCTTCAATCATTGCTTCTTAATACTCGTTACTTTTGACTCAGTATGATTATACTTCCAATTGTGATGTTTCACTGATTCATATAATTATCAAAACATCCAAAAAATACAGTTCCTTCTCCCACCTTAACGTCTAGAAACATCAGCATCGGCCTCCATTAACTTCCTCCCTCCTTTCTCTCCCGCGTTCTTCTCTCTTCTTCCTCCCACAATCCCCTTCTACTGGGCTTTTTTTTCTGTTGAGTTCACTTGTCCCTCGTTAATTTAAACTACCTTCATAGCTAGGCAATTCAATAGTCTTTAACTGATGAGATCATCTCTAAAACAAAATACACTTATGTATGTTGTTGCCACTACCCCCCACCCCCCTCCTTCACTCTCTACTCTCTCAGTCACTACTTCCTCTTCTGAGAGGGGAGATGTGCTACCAGCTCTCCATCTAAAGGGTAAATTGAGTTTCCTAAATCTACTGGGATTTACCATATCCAGAACTGAAGTAAACTCTGTTTAAGCTGGTTTCGAGACAGGATTCGCCTGACTACTAACGACCTACATCCAGATGTCCCACCCTTCTTCCCCCTGTGAATTAGCCAGACTGAGCAGCCTACAGCCAACTAGTTCCACAGAGCACATCTGTTAATGGTCGCTCCTTCTCTTTTTTGCAACTTGCACTTGTTACTGAATCAGGTTAGTTTTAGTGACTCTGGCGAGTCCCAAGGATGTTGTTTTAAATTTGGGCTAAAGCAACTTATAAAGCATGACCTAGTTTTCTTCCCCAGAATCAAGCATCACAGCTATTTTACTACCATCAAAGAAATTTGAGGTGACTCATTAATTGAATGTCCACAACATTTTTTAGATTTTCTTTATGCTAAATATTTTATTAGTAAAGCAATTTTGCAAGGGTCAGTACAGCTTAATTAAGTAGCAGAAATAATCAAATAAGTAAAATCAATCATCTAGCCTATCTTTCCCTAATGCTGATACTAAGAACTAAAAAGGGAACCTTTAGAGAGACGGACGAAGTTTGGTGTCTCGAACCCCAGAACTGGACCGATGATGAAGAAGGTATTGCAGCAGGTGGAGGAGGTTAATTGACGAAGGCAGGCATCTCTGTTGGTCTGATGAGCTGTCATCTCTGCATCGATGGTGAGGTCACACAGGACTTGGGTCTTTGTCTTTGTCTTGATCTTCATCTTTGCCTTGGTCTTCATCTTTGCCTTGATCTTCATCTTTGTCTTTGGGGTCTGAACCCAGCCGATGAGAGAAGTCCGATTTGAAGCCACATGTTGCGGGGCTGATGAGTTGGTCCCCGTGCGCAGGACAGTCTTCGGCTCTGTGGCCCCGGCTCTTCTTCAGTTGCAGAGTTCTTTGTCCGTCTCGGTCTTGACTCGAAGCTGCCTGGAGGATCCAACCAAAGATTCCTCTTTTGCTCTCCCTTATATAGGGTTTATACCCGCTTTCAGTGCATTTTCATTGGCTAACACTGTTGCTGTGCTTTATTGGGTAGCTTGTTTGGACAGATAAATTCATATCCATCACTGTCTTAGAGACATTTTGTCCTGATGTCTTGGCTAATGTCTCAGGGTTGCTCAATGTTCCTCCCATGTCTCTGACACGTGTAAGTTGTTCAACAAGCTATCTCCTAATAAGGTCTTGGTCATCTCTGCTTTCCCGTTTGTCCCCATTTTACCCCTAACCTCTCACCTACTATCTACCTCATCATCAGTGATCTTTAATAGCAGTTACATGTTTTACACCATTTCAAGTTCAATGTTAAAATCACATTCATAAACCTTTTAGTTTCTTTAATTTAGCATTAATTTATAATTTCATGAAAACCACAACTTATTATTCTGATTTGATACCAAAGTTACAGTTACTTGTTTTACTTGTACGTTTTTCCACAAGTGTAAGTATTGTTATAAGTAAACCAATATTAATATAAGTACTTTACTTTAAATCTTATCTAATTACTCAAAATGTTTAGATTTCATCCTTTGAAACTTTTTTGCTTTTAAACAAGGACTGGTCTCAGCTATTTTTATACAGCTGCAAGCTGGAAACTTACTTCCTCTTCTTCCAGGAAACCTGCTCTTCCTGTCTCATCTCTCTCTCTGACTAAGATATCTTATGATTAGATAAAAAAAAATAAGTATAATGAAAGCTAAGTTTGCAGGAGACAAAACAACACACACAACCAGATTCATTTTATTGCAGTCTGGGTCTACTGTTGGGTCTAGATGTGATTGATGTGACTTATTTTATAGGTAACTTTATTTGTTGTTACTGTTAACTAAAATCTCCAGCATGGGGAAGTGAAATGATCTCGGATTTTCTTGACACCCCCTCTTCGAGGTCAGACCTTTCCCATGCTGGGTGTCCAACACCCTCCTGCAGTTCTGTGTCCTCATTCCCTGGAGAGAAGGAGAGGTTCATCTGGGATGCTGGGATGTGAAGATGCAGATTCTTCATCCTCAGTTGTCCTGAAAGTCTCAGTAAAGTCATCAAAACTCCACTTCTCTTGACAATGTACACAAGTTACCTCCAGAAAACTTTGCCTTTCTGCTTTTTTCATCATTTCTCACATTACCACAGTACTTCTCCCTTAATGCATTTAATCACTCGGATTAAAATGTACAAAACAATAATGCATGTTTCTCCTTATTCCCTTTTTTCATTTTTTACACAAAACCAACCTCGGAAATATTTTGTAAATATTAAAAGGCCTTAAGTGCATTGGTTTTTAAGTAAATAGTATGTCTGTGTATATTTATTATTACACTATTATAACATACAGTCCCTGCAAGTATTAGTTTAAAAAATTTGTTTAAAAATTATTCATGAATATTAGATTTAGAAATGTGTGTTTGGTTTGTATGAATTTGTAGTATTTTCTTATGATAGAGAAGTTCTACTAAATTTTTTATTTTATCCTTTTAAATGTCCATATTTTCAAATAATTTCTTTCTTTCTTTACCAAAATTGTATGCGTCATAAAATTTTAAGTAACACAAAATTTTGATACATTTTATGCAAAACAAGACATGGGTGTAAAACAAGATGAAGGAAACCTCAAACTAACAAAGAGTTTTGCTAAATGTGAACTGCACTCAATTAAAACCAGGAATTTTGGTTGCTGCTGTTGAAAGGAATAATTATTTAATAACATTTACTCCAAGAAGTGAAACTAGAATTGTAGACAGGTAACAGTCAAATATAGATATTTACTATTAAATGCTGTTATATTAAAAAACCACACATTTAAAAACATTCATATGTAATATTAATATGATGTCAATTACATATATTTATAAAGTTTAATATAAATCATAAACAGAGACATGAACACACCACCATTAAAAAGTAAACTTTTTTTTCTTCATCCTTCATCTCAGTATTAAAATTCTTATCAAAATAATTAAGTCTGCTATGACTGTAACACAGGGTGGAGTGGATCATATCATAAACTGTGCCAAGCAAATTCTGAAGTTCAAGGGCCAAGACTGTTTTATTTATTTAAATCCTATGCTTATAGCCACAGTAACACTAAAAACAAATTATGTTTAGATATAAAGACGATCACTATAAATCGAATTTTGGAGCAGCAGTTATAAAACCTCTGTAGTAGAAAATGGAAAACCGCTTAATCTCTGTAGCTTTTCATTTTCCAGGCTGGTTCACGACAGCAGGGGTTTCCTTGCGATACTTCAACTCCCGATGCATCTGGCACCAGGAGCACCACACACAGATGCAGGACGTGGCAATGTCCTTACAAAGAGAACCCTGTAGGGGAAAGAAAACACTTCCAGTTTTACTCATTGTTTTATGTAAAACTGCTTGAGGTGAATTTCTTGAGCAGTTGGTCGAAAAGAAAACTTTGAAATCATCATTAATGTGTGACAAGAAGTTAATCGACTCATATTTTTTATTTTTTCATTTTATTTTTACCTTAATTTCATATTTCTGCCGAATCGCGACTCGCAGGGCTAATCCTGCAGGGGGGACAAACAGAGGTATCCCAAAAGCAGACATCACAGCAGGGCTGCAAATATCACACAGTGGAAGACAGCGGTTCTGTCCAAAATGTCCTGACACGGTGCAGGCAAGACAGGGGCAGCACCACAAACCATAACAGCCTGAACAAAAATAAAAAAAAATAATGTTGAAGGCATTTATTCTTAAGCAGATTTATTTGCTAAAATAATGGAGAAAATCAGGGTAGTAAAAAGGTAAACGTAATGCTGGATTAAAAATGATTGATATTTACAAGATTTTATGTCATCACAGCAGCTGAGGAGCCCAGAGTTCCAGTCTTCTCCACCCATCTTTCACTAAACGTTGGCTTAAAAAGGAAAGGAGAGAAGTAAAAGCCAGAAAAAGTAAAAGTCAAAAAATGTTAAATGCAACACATACAGTATTTATTATTTATTATCAAACATTGCATTAGATGCTCTCGTCCTCTTGACTATGAATGTCTGAACTGAGGTCTCAATTAGCTAATTTTCAAATCAGGATCGGAATCCCTAACTAAATGCATCCTCTTGTTGGTGTACCATTTGTAAGTCTATGTATACCCACCGAGTTTTTAAAAATCACAGGGAACCAAAGAACACAACAAGGTCAGAAATACAGGTCAGAAATGAGGAATGTTAAGGGATTTTGAGAAATATACAGCTCTGTCACGAATTATGTGTGACCATTTTTAACTGTCTGGGAATTATATTTTCATGTTCGGTGAATTCCCCAAGGAGTCAGGTAATAAATACTTAAATTTCAGTTTCAAACATCTAGCATGTTAAGATGCTCTCAGCAGAAGACAGCTCAGTGTTGCATCAGATTAGGTGGTGTTATCACTTCATCGCATCTTGCTACATTGAAATTAAATGTTGTCAGCTAATGAACTGCCTCTGATCAGGTGATAGAATTGTTAGTGTTCCAGTTTAGCATTCCAACCTAACCAACAGGTTAGGTGGAAAAACTCAATGTATGATCAACCCACAAAACTCATTACTTGTACAGAAGTAGCATGAAAAGTTTCGACAGTTTTAGTTTTTGGAGCTAACTTTTTTTCCAAAAATGAATAACTCCCGATGCATCTGGCAAAAGGAGCACCACACACAGATGCAGGATGTGGCAATGTCCTTACAAAGAGAACCCTGTAGGGGAAAGAAAACACTACCAGTTTAACTATTTGTTTTATGTAAAACTGCTTGAGGTAAATTTCTTGAGCAGTTGGTCGAAAAGAAAAGCAAGATCCTAACATTAATAATTTTTTGCTCAGTTGAAAAGTATTTCCAGAGAAAAACTTCCTCTCACATGTAATAAATAAATACATTAATTCTACAATGTGAGAAAAGCTTAAATTGTGTTATTTAATGTCCACCAAGAAATTGGCTGTGAAATAATGTAGGGAACAAGAATTGTATTTGATATGAATACATTTTTTGTTTTTTTAAAATACCCAAAGAAAAGAATGTTTCTCAAACTCTAAATATACATGAAGTCAACAGAAACAAACTCGTCATGATTGCAACAATGGATGACACACCCTACATGTCCAGGGAAATAAGATACTGTGTTGTCATATTACGAGACAATTAAAAAGAAATGATGTTACATTAAATGGATCTCAATTAATTTAACATAGAAATCAAGGAGAAAACGGGTGTCTGTTTTTTTTCATGATTGAGCTCTGTGACCGATCTCATTCCTTTCTGTTTTGGGTAATTGAAAAGTTTAGCATTGGTAAAATAAACCTGCAACCACACAAGATTATGCAATAAGACAAATACTGATTGTATTTTAACAAACAAACATATGTGTTTTTTAATTTAATTATTTTGTTTCAAAATTTCACAAAGAGGAACAGTTCTAAAATTGTTTTTGATGCTACTGCTAATCAACAGTAATTTTTGTCCCGGTTTTGACATTTCACAAATTTACATTTTAGGCAAATTTCATTTTCCTTTGCGAAAAAAGAAAGAGAAAAAAAAGAGCCATTGGATATTTTCACAAAGAAACAACATTTTACCTGATGAATCTGGAAGCCTTGCTGTCAACCAGGAGAGTGCTGAAAGGACTGATTGTGTGGGGTGTGGTGTCTCAAGAGTTATTCAGAACCTTGGGGAAAAAAAACACAATGCTGCAGAACCAGAATTCTTGCGCAAAGCAGGGCTTAAACGATAATGTATGTCCAGTGTTTTATATTTCTGCAGGTGTGGTTGATTTGTCAGCAGGTCAACAGAATCTAAAAAATGTTATCCTTCACGGAGAAATCAGCCACATCACAGTCAGAGGCAGTAACTGCTTCCTACCTTTCACATGTAAGTTTCTCTATAGTTCACTCCTGCCAAGACATTCAAAGAAAGTTTGATTTACAAAGGAATAATAAAAATATTTATTGTCCTCCTGGTGATAATCATCATAGAAAATGTCCTAAATATTCAGAATAGTTTAGGAGACTTTGTGTTGCAAAGCAAAGTCAGGGCTGGTTTATCAAGAATGGTAGCCAAATATGTCATTATGAAGCACACATGACACAAGAGGGTTGTGTTCATGTACAGTTGAGGAAATAAATATTTAGAACATCAATGTCTGCCTTGCCTTAGTAAATATATTTCTGCTGGCCTAATTAGTAAAAGGACTCACATCAAATATGGGTGACAACCTGGTGAGATACTGCACCAGAAGCACAAAATACATCTTGGGTTCTTTCAAAGTTCTTGTTAATAAAGGTTACAGAAAATGTAGGAGAAACATAATTTTATTACAAACAGCCATGCATACAAAAAATGCTCTTCACAATATTTCTAACAGAGGAATCACATGAATATTTACAAGGGAAATCCAAGAGCCCAATGGCAACTCAGAGAACAATGTTCAAACCGAAGGGGTGCTAGGTGTTTATTAAATTCCTACTTGATTCCGTGATCCACCTGTGCAACAGAATGTTTTTCAATAAAATTTCCTCAGTGCTAAATATTTCTGTCAATTCTTAACATTATAAAAAAGTGGAAGTGATTTGGAAAAACACTAACTGAACTATAAAGTTGGTGGCCTAGTTAAACCACAGAGTGGGGTCAGAGTCAGAGGTCAAAATCTTTTAGCAGTCACCGACCACCTGCTGGTGTGTTGAGGAAAAAATAAATCACCATGGTGTCACATGACTTTATGAATGCGCTTCTGTCAATTCTGAATTTTTTTTTTTTTTCCAGCAGTCACAAATCTTGGCTGACCTTGTGACAACTCAGCACAAAGTAGTACTTTCTCTTTTGAGGAAATAAGTGATCGAATCGGAAATAAAATAACACTTTACTCATAATCAAACAGGTCAGTTGGAAAAGCTTCTTGTCTGATGAACTTTAAGTTGAAACTGTTTTTTTCCCAGCCAATCCATTTTCTGCTGAATTCTTGTGACTAAAAGCCCTTCCTGTTTCAAATAAAAGGAGTGAGGAATTATGTTATGATGACTTTGGAGCTGCAGTGGTAGATTGTTGAGTTTAAATATTTATCTGAGTTACAGTCAGTGTTAAGACCCAGGATCTATTACGATTTGTCATTATTTTTCTTTTTTTGCAAATATGTACAATGAAAATTGCAAATCAACAACTCAAAAGTTCTAGCTTTTGAGTTGTTGATTTGATTTTCTGATTACTGTTTACTAATCTGGTTACTTGCATAAACTAAATCTTAAATAATGGGACAGGTGTAACCCAGAAAGAAGTTGAATCAAATCACAACTTTTTTTTCATCCTGACAAAACTAGTTTAACTGGGTCAGGTGTGTTGGCTACCTTGCTTTCACACAGCTTGTCTACTCTTACCACACATTTTCTATAAGACTAAGATCAAGGACTCCTTTCCGCTTTTCATTAAATGTAATTTATTTGTTCGAATCACAGTAAAAATCTCCTAGAAAAATGAAATTATTTTTCCCTGGCCAACCAGAGATTAGTGGGTTATCCCTGGGTTAACCCAGGTATTGTTCTGGTATTGATCTCCATTTTTTACACCACAATTGCACCAGTGTTGCAGTGTCACATCTGCAACAGTGGTCCTATCTTCTTCCCGAACAATATGCTAGTCACAGGTTATATATGTTATATATGCAAAATGATTTTGAACCAATGAACGGGGCACATTGAGGCATAAAGAAATGGTTCTGGTTCATCAAGGAAGTCTACAATTAAATTCCTTATGTCTTCCCTTATTTAGTTATTTTTCCATCTCAAACAAAAAACGGTGTGTTTGAGGTGTGGTTTACAATATCTCCACACGCAGGAATAAATAAACTCTTCATAACTTTGTATTTGGTTTACATTCTTTTAAAGGCACTTCAATCCTAGTGTATTTTAACTTATGACTAAAAGAAATAATAAAAAATCACTCTCTTTTCTTGTACAAATCATTTTGGTCATCCCAACTCACCTAAAGGATGAAAAGTTTGTTAACCTCACAGTCTATTGTTTCCACGTCATTGACAACACTGCTCTCTGCTGTCTGTTTTGGAAATCGCAAGGACCTTTTTCTCATCAGTGGAATTTAGACACAGATCGGAGTGCTAGGACAAGAACTACCTTCTTAAAAGATTTCTTTGGTTATGCATTACAAATAGAGCTAATAGCGCGGTTTGCAAAACTGCTTTCATCTTTGTGCGTTTTGTAATTTTGACTGTTAGTTTTTTTTGGAAAAAATGAAGGTGAACTTGGCTGTCGACAACTGAATTGTTTGTCAAACTTTTTGGAATGTAGATTGTCAAGTTTTAATGTTTATCAGTTGTTAGATATGTACTATTTACTGCATTGGCTACTGGAAAAGATTGTGATGTTGTTGGGATGCTTTTCTTCTGCTTTGGAGCTGGTAGGAATTGACAGACAGATTGATGGACCTAAATATGAATACAAGCCAGACTTTATAGAAAATATGTATGTAAACAAAGTTGTGGATATGCATTTTTACCTAATTTTGGAAAGTAGATGGAGCTGGACAATGACAAGTTGTAAAAATGTTTGTTGACTGACACTTTCCATCCCGTGTGATTGAGCTGGAGGTATTTTGCAAAGAAGAATGTGGTTCTTCAAAAATGTTGATTCATGTGAGTTAAATATAAATAACATCCATTCTTCAGATCTTTATTTTCTAAAAAAGATTAAAACAATGCTTCTTTTTTATGCACTTCTCAATCATATGGTATGTTGATCTGTGACATAAGATACCAGTAAAATGCTTTTATACGGATATAACAAGACAAAAGATAAAGAAGTTGAAGGGGCTATGAATACTTTTGCATGGCACTGTAATTACAAGTTTCTAAGGATCACATTCAAAATATATTTTTGTTGTTTTTATCCTTTCAATGAGGTTAACAAACATAATAGTTAAAACCCTTACTGAGGACTACCATTTTTCTGAAATGCTTGATTACTTTTTGCCTCTTGTGTTTTGCTAATAGTCATTTGCTTTGGTAAAATAATACTATTGTTTCAAGTAAATGAAAAAGACCGACTCAGACATTTTCTCTCAGTAAGTTGTCTGGGCACAATGGTTTCCAGCAGCCTTTTCACCAGGCCCAAGCGTCCCGTCCTGATCAGAGTCTTGGACAACTCCGTCACCTCTTCTGTGTGCGTTCTGTAAAGAACCCTGAGTTCTGATTTCACAATATCCTGTGGATATCGCTCCTCTGCCTTGTTCACCCACATCTCCAGCTGAGTGATGACAGAACTAGGGTCAGAACCTTCTTGCATAAATAGATACAGGAGCGTCAGGAGGAGGCAATGCAGGGCTGTGGTGTCAGTGCTCCCTGGCCTCTCTAAGTCCATTGCCTGCTTGAAGCACTCTGCAGCATTCTGCTCTTCACCTTTTATTAAAAGGCAGCGTCCTCTGAGCACATGGAGGTCTGGTAAGCTGTCTCCTGGCTTGAACTGTAGAGCATTGGACAGACTCACCAAAGCATGGTTTATTGAACTTTCGTCCACCATAAGGCTCTCTTGGAGTGCATCAACTCCCATGTAATAGAATACCTAAAAAGAAGAGCATGAAGCTGTAAGTCTGTTTCCAGCCTATGTCCCAGACCTTAGTCATCAGAGCTTTACCTGTGCCATCTCTAGATGAGTCCTCAAACACGGACGTACTGTCAGCACTCTATCCAAGTCTTTTCTAGCTTCGGCTAGCTTCTGGCGATCTGGAGCTCCTCCTATTCCAAGTTTTGCGTTCTCAAGTTTGTTGACATATAAGATCACGTTAATCTAAACACAGAATATACAGTCGTATTCAGGAAATGACAAGACGTTCTCTGATGAGGCTCATTTGTCGGATTAAAAGTACCTTCTTAAAAGAATAACCTTTAATGATAGATTTTTCACCAAAATCAGTTGTTTTATTGGTTTGATACTAATCTTTACAGCAGACTATTGGGACATTATAAAGAAATAATGAAAATAAAAAATAAAATTACAAGAATAAAGTCATAATATTATAAGAATAAAGAAGCATGAGAATAAAGTCATAATATTCTGAGAAGAAAGTTGAAATAATACAAGAATAAAGTCATAATGTTACCAGAATAAAGTTGTAAAAAGATTTTATTTTTATAGTTTGAGGGGTTTTTTTTCTCTCAATTTTCTTAACATGGTCCTAGTTTACCAGGTGTGCCAATAATTTTGGAGGGTATTGTAAATATACCACCTAAGTATAGCTATTTTACACTCTGTTATTATGAACAGAAAATACATTAAAGCCTTCTATTCACAACTTTATCTAAGTATATCATGAAATGTGTTGAGTTAATGTGTCTCAGATGCAATACCTTTGCCCGTGTGCAGTACGCCTGCCAGTTGAGCTCTGGATCTGGCAGAACATTTAGAGCCATGTTGCAGATCCCTGTGGCCATTTCATGTTTGCCCAGCAAAAAGATGATTTTGGCCAGAAGGTTCAGGGTGATTGTATCGTCACCAGCCAAATCCATGGCCTGAAGAGGAAGACAGTTCTGTTAAATTTGGCACACAGGTGGCAGCAGCAAATGCTAATGTCTGAATTGTATTTTGTCTTGGCTGCAATACATATAATAGATTGAAATCATATTATTGTTAACTGAGGTTAACAACAATATATCAAATTAATTTTTAAGTTAATTGTTCACTTAAAAATCTGACATTTCACCTTTCGTAAACATCGACAGTATGAGAAAAAGAGTTTTTTAAGCTTCAGATTAAAATAATCCTCCTATTAAAGTAAAACAATGTAGTTAAATAAATTGCCTCTTTTGCTTTATGTCACATCAAAACACTAAAAATTAAAAGGATGTTGATCTCTTAGCATATCCTACTTTTATAAGACATAAATGTAATAAACTTTATTTTATGCATAATAATTCCCTGACCTTTTGTGAGACCTGACATAGACTTTTTTGATTGTTATTTTACCAACATATGTATGATTTATTGGTTAATTCTGTGTCTGATATCATAAAGCTTGATAAGACTCTTAGTAAAATGTCAGCATGTAGAATTCTGTTACAACTATTTTTATTCATTGATGTCTAAACCAAAACAACTCTGTCAAAATATATGTTGTATATGAAGATAACATGTTGAAAAGGTAGTAATGAAGGAAAAAGAATAAATTAAAGACATGCGGAATAACTAGTTGAAATGACAACATGTCAGAATTTCTGTTTGTCTCCCTCTTATTGGATTGTATCTGGTGAGGTTTCCAATTTTGAGTTTACTTACAGTTCCATAGCAAGACAGGGGATCAGATGCTGAGAAACCACAGTCATGTATCGACATGGGGATGGAGGAAAATTCATCTTTTCTTTCCAACATGATGCCAATGTAACACCAGGCTAAAGCTAACAAGACACATCACAATTAAGAGTGTTTACTCACTTTCTATGGAGCTATATTGGTGGAAAAAAAATAATAATCATGGCCTCTCTAAAGAACAAATGAACAAAACAGTTAAGCTACAGAAGCACATGTTGATTCACCACATTTCAGCATATATTGTACATATGTATAATATGTACAATACCTAACCCTAACCCATGAAATCTCAGAATTTTAGGCCATAATACCAAATGCATAATTTATTTTGCTTTAGAAAAGACTTTTTGCAAAAACATTACTTTTCAGACAAAATATGATTTTATTTAGCTACACATAACTTACTTCTGTTTATCTTAGACTAGCAATTACCGTCTTGAAAAGGTAATTGAATCAGTGTCATGACAGGTGATAAAAAAAATTAGCTGTAATTAGTCCAATCTATGTGATGAAGGACTACAGTTTGGATGGAGCATCAATTTGAACAATTATTTAAAAATGTAATCCCAGATCATAGCGTTAAAACCTTTCTTTTTTGAAATTTTCATTAGTAGACAGACACATGCTTACCTTTGTGCTGCTTTGTCTCAGATTGCACTGTTTCCTTTAGGAGCCTCAGTCCCTTATTGTAGTGGAAGAGTCTTGAGCATTCAGAATCTTCTTTGGTTCTCATGATTTGGTCCAGTCTTCAAGAGACATGAAGACTGGACATTTTAACACTTAGACACTTAGTTGTAAAATATATACATATATATATTTATATAGATATTAGATGTTTTCTCCATACCTTACATAAATAGCTGCCATTTTAAAATACCAGCTTCGTTTTTCTCCGGTTGGTATCTAAAGACAACAAGAATCAGCTTAACACTTAATGGAGTGGTCTGCTTGAATCAGAATTTGGAACTGTACTCTACAAAGAGTTGAATAATATAAAATTTTATCATAATTATTCTTTTAAACATACTGGACTTAATCACAATGACAGCTAGAGAAAAGAAACGTGTTTATTGATGTTTACGCCTTCATTGTCAAACTTTCATTGTGTCTTTTTCGTCTTTTCTCTCTTACCAGTTGACCCCCATAATGCAAAGCTTTGCTATAAAGCGACAGTGCTGACATCAGCTTCTCCCTCAAGTTGTCGTCGCTGTCCAGCTCCACATCATGTGGATACACGTACGCCTGCTCAGCCAGACATCGTGCTGCTAGCAGCCTGGTCTCCTCCGGGGAATGATCTCCAGAGTTCATTCCCATGAGACAGGAGACCTTGTCCACACATTCCTCTGCATCCACCTCTCTCCCCTGTGTGTCATACACAAAGCCCAGGTTGGCCCAGGCATTGAGATTCCCAGGGTCCTCCTTGCAGATGCTCCTTTAAAAGGCCAGAAAATAAAGGGTTAAAAGAAACTTATTTTAGAGCAAAATTGAATCATTTAAAATGAATCAGTTTAATGATTCATTTTGAGCAAATGACAGAAACTCTATATTTAAAACACATTTTTAGAATAGATTCCTTGAAACCTTCCTGCTCCCAAAGTATTGCTGAATACTCCAATGTTAAAGTCTATATTTTGGCTACTTTTACCTATTAGAGTCGATTTTAGGATGCGATGCATTCTACATTTATTGTAGAATTCATTCAGTTCTCTTTTGTACTCTAAAAGGGCCAAGGTGAAGTATCACTTTCTTTTTAGGTCCCTCACTTGTACAACATCATTGTTGCAGACCTGAAGGCAGCAGAGACCATTCATGTTTTAATACAAAAACTTAAAACAAGATGTTTTTTTTTTAAATTGAGTCTTTTAATTTTCTATGCTTCTTAAAATGTTATACTTTTGTTGCCCCATCATCCCCATAGATTTAACCCAATAGACTCAAATGAGCCTTGTAGCCCTTTGTCAGCATCATAAAATAGCATTTGTGAGGTCAAGCCAAATTTTAAATGGCTGTTGAATTCTAATGTATTACTTACGCCGTATTTAGTCATTTTAAGTCTGCACTGTGTTTATTGCATTCATTGCAGCTTGTGACAAGTTGAAACAGAGCAGTCAGAATGATATGGGTTCACTGATCTGTCATATCATTCTCAAAACCTTCAATTTTTGGAAAGCCTAATGTTATAAAATGTATTCAAAGACAGGCTTTTAAAAATATGCTGGTTCAAACTATGCCCCAAGATATCTCTCTACATTAGCTTTCTTAGCTCACACAGTTTTCCAGAAGAAGTTGGTGTTTTCTACCTGAATATTTCCTCAGCTCTGTCCAGCTGTTCCAGGTGAAACGCCAGCAGTCCCAGTAGATTTCGAACAGCGTACTGCAGATATCCCACTTCAACCTCCAGCTCAGCTTGCAGGCTGTCCTGTTTCAGGTAAGTGTCTCTGAATCTCAAATTCGCAGGCCCAACAGGATCACAGTTAAGGTTTAGCTCCAGGTGGAAGTGGCCAGGGATGTACTGCATGTCCTCTATTAGGGACTCGATGTCCTCTGAGTTGTCTGTTTCCGTGTTCATGTTGTCTGTTTCCATTGATCCTGTTGGAAAAGGTGAGAAGATTCTGGCTGTGTGTATTTAGACTGGTGATCCTCCACACCTTGTCTTCCTTAGATTCGGTTGACGTAAAATGTCAGCAGGTTGAACAGGTTAGACATAGGAGCGACCAGGGAGGGAACTGCTAATTATGTTAAGCAATTAAAACTGCTGACATTAGCATTTATTTTTATTTGCCTCCCTCAGTTTTTTAAACATTTGAAAGCATAATCCTTTCTGAAAATTTAAGATTTTAGCAATAATTTTCCCTAAGATTAGGATCTGTAACAGACAAACCGTCTGGCATTCCTTACAGTGTATTCAGACAAGATAATCACAACTTTTGTCATCTGTACATTCAGGACTTAAGCCTTCATCGCAGGAAATTTGAGCTTATTTTATCATCCTTACAGATTGTCCATGTTTGTGTTTGTTTTGTTGAGTTTTCATTCCTTCTTTAACTTTATAGCTACTTTGAAATTCCTTCATAATGCATACCTGCTACCAGGGTTTCCTTCTGTCCTCACATGTGCTCTGCTACAATAGCTGAATAGTCATCTATGAAAACTTATTTTTTTTTTCTACTAAGCGCATTTTTGTTAGTTTCTGTGTGTACATGACTTAGGTTGTTGACTTTCAAGATGGGATTATTAGCCCTTTAGAAGGTATTTTTAGATTTAATTTAGCACTTTGGTGGATTTTTTACCCATACTAGCTTAGTATTTCACAGGCCTTTATAATCTTATCTACGCTTTTGTCAGCTCTACCCAAGAATGTGACCAATCAGGCTCTGTGTGACTCAAGAAAACTCTGAGCAAATCTCAGCAAGTGTTCTGCTTAGTTCAGGATAGAATAGAATAGAATAATTTATTTATAGACATTGCAAATGTATAATATAGTGTACAGTGAGATTTGGATAAATGACACTACAACCAATGTTCATTGAGAAATATGCAAACAGAAATATTAATTCATCATAAGGTATTAAAATTAAATAGTTAAAACTTTAGGCTGAAAAACATCAGACATTGACTGAATATTTGACCTCTAACTGAAACTCTGCTTTTCTTATTTATAATTATCTTCATCATAATTTTGGTGTTTTTTGCTAACTGTTCCACTTGGTGGCAACATTGTACTACATCATATCTTGGCTGTCAAAGGTACCAGAGAAAAAAAGTCACCAATAAATTATATTAACTTTAAATCACTTATTCTTGGAGGTTTCTCAAGCAATTCAAAGCAATTTAAATTTGGCACATAGGTGGCAACAACAAATGTTAATGTCTGAATTTTAATGTAGTGGATTGAAGTTACATAATGCGACAGAGAATACACCAAAATTAAACTAAAACATGCTTTTGAGGTGCTAATAACTCAAACTTAAATCAACTGTGTCAATAAAAGAAGAAAAAAGTTTTGTAGAGAAGGATTGTAACATGAAAACTGTGAAAATTTGTAGAAAATATAAAGCAAATCAGTCTTTCCAGTTTGCTTTTTTTCTATTCTTTTGTGTGGTTTAAAAAGACAAAAAAATAACATAAATCAAGCATCAATTTATCGTTTACATTATGAATTAAGTACTGTGTAATGAAAACATATTTTGGGTTACACCTAAGGATTTGCCTGTGAGAACATCTTGGTTTTTGTAGTGAGACCAAATCAAATAACTTAAACTTTTTTCTAATTTAATGTGACAAGTGTTCTGTAAAAATTTCATATTAAAACAAAACAATTTATAAGGAAAATAAAGGGAAAAAACTGTTTGCCAAAATGCTGAGATCAGTCTTATTGTGCCAACAATAATCTGAATGTCTGAAACCAAAAGCAGGGCTTTAAGATGGAACCTTTTTTTTTTTTTCAAAATAAACATCAAAATCTTGGGGAAAATAAAAATCTCAAATCTGTGTGGGAGAATTGTGTGACGACCTGAAGGAGTAAACTATTGGGCAATAGAAAAATGTTTTAACAGTATGTTTGGCATAGGAACAAAACACTTGGTGCCTTTGTTGAAACGCAGCGGTGGGAACATCACGCTTTAAGCTGTTTATTTTTTTATTCTGGAATTAGGCTTACAAAAAATACTCAGATTTTAAGAGCCTTTGCTTATGCAGAGATTCCACTATGGCCAAGGCAAGTTGAATTTTTAAAGACTTTTAGATGTTAATTGAAACAAATTGTTTTCACCTTGTTGGTTTTGTCTGTTTTTTTTTTTTTTTTAACTGGGGAAGCTGTTCTATAAAAGCAGCTGTAGCTTTCCTCAGCTGCAGGACTACTGTAAAATGGGTTTGCTATCCTGCTGCATTTAAAATTTCCCTTCAGGCCAGAATGAAACTCTTCTAATTTCACATTGCTGCATGTAAAAAATGAACAACTGGACAGCCGATTCTTTTTTATTTACACAACAGGGACATACAAATCAACTAAAGAAGCATTTCTTGGATATGCAGAATAAACACGATCCCCCTGGCCAAGCCCACAAATATAAAGCCACAATGCAAATGTTAGAGTTAAGTTTGAATAAGGCTGCTGATTCTGCAACACAGTGCCGGATACATTTGCAGACTGAATGCACTGCATAATGTGGATACTGTAGCCCAGCCTCAGCATGTGGGTGTGCAAAAAGCTGAAAATTTTCTCCTCCATGACTCTGTTGCCATGGTGGTCATCGTGGATACTGGGCTAATTGCATAGTAACATAATCATTACAGGCACATGTTTGTCTTTTTTTTTTTTAAGTCAAAGACAGAATTTTATCTTGCTTTTGTTCACACTTTCTCATATTTAAAAGGGACATTTTACATTACGGCAGCTGGCAGACTGAACAGAGGCATTATCGGATGGAGTCTGGATAATCACTGTGGAGTTGCTTTTCTGTAATGTGGGATTATAACATGTGCTTCACATATTATAGTCTTTTCATAACAGTTCTTCGGCTTTTTCACTAACCCACTGTTAACATATTTACTGTTTTGGTTAATGGCTACTGTAGCAAACAGCATTCAGTGTCATTTATAATAGAGAGTTAAGAAATTGACAATAAATGCTAACAAAGCCAAATACTAAACATCACAGTCAAGTTAGCTTGCACAACTTCTCCTGATCCACAAAACTGAACATCCAAACTCTCACAACTCCATCACCAACTCTTAGTGTAAAAATGTTGTCCAATGTCTAAAACTCAAACTCCTTCGGAATATGAGGTTTGACAATCAGAAGGGCTCTTATAGAACTGGTATTAACTTTCTGAGAAGTGTGATGTTCGGCATTTTCTCATGTTAACATGTAATAGAGAACACACTCTGTGAATGGGGATTTAGTCTGATTTCAAAGAATTGTTGAAAATATTTGATGATGTGTTATGCTGTCATGACAAAAAGAAGAAAGTAACTCTGGAATAAAAAAAAGGCCTTGTCTTTGTTATCAAAAAGAACAACATCCTCCTTCAAATCCAGATTTGATCATTATTGTATCAGTGGTACAGATACACAATTATGGCTTTTCATCTTCTACTGCAGCAACAAATGCATCCATTTGGTGCATTTAAATCTGCAGCTGTCAGCTTCTTATCTGTAGCTGGGATGAGTGATCGCAGTAAAAGCATGAGGTCTGTTAGCGAGACCTGAGCAGATCTGACCGCAGAGCAAAGTCCTTATCTGTAAATCTACCAGGCAATGCACAGAAACAAGATATATTCAGCAAGGAACAACTGTTCTTATCCTTGAGCTTTATTGTGTAATTTATTGTATTTTTCAAATATAATTCCTTTTTGGCCCACCAAACTCCTTTTGTAATAAACCTGTGGACAAAAACTAAACTCCAGATATAGTTCTGCTTCTCCTCTCAAGCTACAAAGAAAAAAAACCCATCCCAGTAGGAAAATTATGCTTGTCATTCACACAAATTTTTTGACCATTTTTGTTCATGTCTGCTGCCTTTACCGATGGGACCATTTGATCTCTTTTGCCATAAAAACTTTCCAGTAATGCAGTCCTCTTGTCTCACAACTACATGGCTTTAACCTGACGCATACCCACAATTCCACATCAGGAGGTTCAGGCCTGTTAGGGGGGAAATCTGTCTATGGTGTGTGTGTGTAGGCAGAAAAAAAAAGTAGTCGATGGTGTAAGTGTGAGTCAGACTGCAGAGAGTGGTAACATTTGTAACACCTCCTTCATCACACTCCTAACACCTTTTCCACAAAAATGAGATCCTATACTTTATGCTCATCCAAAGATTTAATAAAACTCTAAAATTATGCTCTGCTCACACCACAAATAAACAGAGTTTTAGACTTGTTTGTATGTAACAAAAACATGTATTTTACTTGTCTCTATATAAGGGATTAGTTTTCACAATGCTTGTCAAAGTTAAATTTTTATGGAGCTGCATAGATTACAGCAAATATATACATCTGCTAAATTTAAAATTAGCAATGAGTTTTTCAGTGAACCTGCTTATGTTATATCTTTTTCCATGTACCTCTTCTAAAATAACAGCAAGCAATAATTTTCTGCAGGGACTGGAATATTTTACTGTATAGATACATAAAACAAAGAATAAATACATTATTTGTATTTAAAGATATATTAAGGACATCTTTTCGGACGGACAGACAGAAAGACAGAGTTTTTATTTTATCAGTTGCGTAACAGTTGAGTCAGTTTCCTGTCTGTCGTTTTTATTTTGAAAGTGAGCCCGGATGCAGATCCGCGTCGTTACGCCTGACTTGTCTCTGCTCAGCTCTCCTCTCGCACTCTGCGGCTGCTGCTGGTCGCTGTCATCATGCAGGTGGAATCTGCGCAGTGTGCTTCACAATAAAAACCTTTGACAGGGACGCCACGACTTCTCCGAGCTGCCAGTCAGCTGGACTCCTGACATCAAACCGCCGGGGAGGAAGAAGCAACAAGACAAGAGACAAACCGACTAATTGGACTTTTTATTCCCTTGCACCCTTTACCTACCTAAGTTAGGTATAGAAATATAGTTATATTTGGATTAGGATCTCGTTAAAGTATTGCTCTGCGCGGGATAATAAAACGCTGTTAAAAAGTGGTTTCCTCTTTTGGCGCAGTCACAGCACAGCTCGGCGGGAGACGCAGAGGATGTCATCCAGTCCTAAAGGAAATGAAAGTCCCAAACAGAGCAGGAGGACGTAATCTTTTGGGAATATCTTCTCTTTGCACGCGTCGGTGCGATGGATGAAGGCACCGCCAGCGACACCATCCCAGATCTGAAAGACATAGAGACAAAAATCGGCCGGAAGACTCCCGAGGGTTTGCTCAGGTGGATGAGAGAAGATGCGTCCTCTCTCCGGGGAGAAACCAAACTGGCCACCCCTCAGGACACCAGTAAGGACACTGGGAGGAAGAGTTTGGATGAAAAGATTAGGAAGCTCAGGATGGAGATGGTAAGATATTGATGTGTGTGTGTGTGTGTGCGTGTGTGTGTGTGTGTGTGTGTGTGTCCAGTGGATGTAGATCCAGTTTGTCAGTGTCAGTCAGCGCAGTTGAGCTGTCACACTGACGCAGCTCAACGGAGGCTCTCATCCAGCTGGAGAAGGTGGCTGGAAATAGCTAAACACATTTAAGCAAATTAATCCGTCCATGCAGGAGCAATGATTTAAAATGAATGTGCAAAATGCACAGGAAAAGAGGAAAGAGTGTAGATCCTCTACAGGTCACCGTACAGTTTAGATTCATCAGGTTGGATTGTTAAATGTTGGCTGTGGAGAAAGTTATTTGGATAAAATCCATTTTACCTTTTGCCCCTAATTCAGGGGGCAAAAGGTAAAATTGAATTCTTAAGGGAAGGGACTCCTAATGGTTTCTGTGGATTAGGAGAACATCAGATAGGTTTGGTTTTCCAAACTTTGTGGATGAATAGTGTTGAGTTTTTGAGTACTGGGGTTTTTCTGGCTCTATGGAGCATGGACCTTCCCCGCCTTGTTGCTTCACAGCTGACTGATAGAAAACTCCTTAGTCCTTTACTAAAATGTTTTTTTTTTTTTAAATGTCTGTTTGGAAATATTGCCGATGGTGAAAAACACAGATTTATGTTGTGGAAACCAAATATTAGTGCCATCTTTAACGGTTATGATTCTGAAAACTACAATTACCTAAGAGTGGCAAGTCTATTAGCAAACTACGTGCTAGCAAATCAAGAAGATAACTCCAACAATTGCTGAGCTATTATGTTTTTTTGAAAAGTAAATGATATATTTTCAATTTTGATGACATTTACTTGAAAACTAATACAAATAAGTACAAATAATAATAAAAACTATAAAAGTTGTAGATATAAATAATCAGATCATGTTATACATTTTTTTTAAACTATCTGTGTCAATACTTCTGTTATCTGCTGGTATTTAATTACTATGGTAATACCATTACTATAAATGTTACCATGCTAACTAGATGTTACCAAAGTAACACAATACCAATAACTATGGCATTGTTTTATTTCTTTTGTGACTTTCAGGGAGTTCTACAGTGATAGCTTTACTTTTTCAAATGTTATCACTCACTTATTTTATCAAGAGTCTGATGTTATTTAAGCGGATTAATTCCCAACAAGCAGCTGTTGATTTCTCTGTCATCTTGTTTACAAGGATCCAATCCACGTCCAAGCAGCAGAGTAAATCCTCTGCCCTGAGTGTACATGCATGTAATGCATTCCTGCGGCAGATTGAGGCGTGCACGCAGCCTGCGGTTCTGACACAGAGCGCATGCACGACTTCCTAACAAAGCGAGCCGTTATCCGACGATGTTTCTAACACATTGGTTCGTTTTTAAACAGCCAAAAGGAGAGGATCAGTTGGTCACATGTTGGGACTGGAGCTCACAGCAGTGCTATGAGCTCCAGTCCAGTGGTTCTAAAGTGCAATTGTTTTTTATAGTACAGTAAATAGAATAGAACAATAATGTGTGGACAAATAAGCTAAAAATGTCCTGAGTGAAACTGTCCAGGACAGATGTAGATTACATTTACCTGTTACTGCAGAGTACAAGCAGAACTTGCTGCAGCAGACAGGCTACTTGATGTATTCAACATAACATTATTTAGTTAAAATTATATTGTAAAATATATTTCAGATAAGAATTGAAAAATCAGAGAGAAGGTGAAAAGCTTCATCTTAAGCATTTTGTCCTTCACAGTCATTTCAAACTGACAACAAAGAGAAAAGGGCACCAACCAGAGCTGCACATTGTTTCATTCTGTTTTGTTTCTTCTTTTGGCACTTGCTGCAGCAGCGCCTCCTACAGCAGCTGCCACTGTAGGGCACTGCTGATGCTGCCTATGTGCAGGACCAGCCCTGCTTCAAGGTTTTTGTAATTTCTCTAAATCCATTAGGATTTATGGCACACAATCCTCTCTGCTGGGAATAAAGAGGAACCGACAATATAGTTGTGGTGATAAACAGCAACTTCCTAGCCTGCAGACACAAACACACCCTCCTGCTGTGTGTGTGTGTGTGTTTCATTCATCTCACAGAGTGGTATAGTGTAATGAGAGTGCAGAGGAGTAGATGTGAGCACTGCACTTTCATCAGCTATCTGCTTAGTAAGATTTACAGTAATGCATGTGAGAAGAGTCTGCAGAGTAATGCCAAATGGGAGAGCAGACATTTGGTTGTGCATGCAGTCTAGTATTTTTAACACCTTAACACATGCTGATAAAGTCATTAGAACAGCTTTAAAAGGCAGGCTGTTAATGAGTAAAGTAAAATCAGCAGATTTTCATAAAATAGTTGGGTTAAAGCTACTTTTGGGATGGCTTTAGCTACATACTAACTAAAACATGCTAAAACGTTTGGAATTCGTAACACAATTGAAAAAGTATGTACTGTATATAAAGGACAGATCTGAAACAAATTTACTGGACCAGGACACTCATTCACAACAACGAGAAATGAACAGCAAGCTGGATGCTCACAATTCTGATGTTTATGTTTTGTTGACGAAAATATGCTGTTGGTCATTTTTCTTGTAATACATCTCTGTTATATTTTCTGGAAATTATCACAAAGTCATAATTGACTTAGTTTTCAGAATTTGTCCTAAGTTTCACTTTTCTCTTTGCGTTCAATGCTCATTACAAAATGAGCACTGAACACTCAAAATTACCATGTGAAAAATCTGTATCTGGTCGTCTACTTATAGATGTTCCAGTCATTGTGTGGTTGTGTCAAACTAAATTATTACCAAATGAATATTCTTTTCATTTTTTTTATCACAACGCCCTGTTTACAAAAGCTGACACAGCCACCCTCTGTTGAAATTATGTTCACTAGTTTATTTACGCCAAACCAAACCCAACAGCTTGGAATTCAAATGAGAATACAATTAGTGGAACCATGATCATATTTTATATTTAATTATCTTTTTTTTTTTTTTTTTTTTTTTTAAAAGAAAAATCAGATTAAATTGTATTTAGCTTCATAGTCATGAATGCTGCATTATGGGGCATCTCCTTAGATTTAAAGTTCAATGTCACTTCTAATTCAAAACTGTAATTTCACTTTTTGTTTTTTCAGAACCAGAATGCTAAATATTGTCTTTGGCTTTGACAGTTGAGTAGAATATGGCACAAAATACATTTCAGGGGCTGGATGCAGACAGATGGTTTATTTCAGGGTGAAGGGACACTGCAAGGACACCGTCTGTCTGCAGATGACCTGAGAGAGATGAGGAAGGGGAAAAAACAGACAATGACACGAGAGGATATAAGACACTGTGGGCGTGTGTGTGCATGTTTTTTGTTGCTATAAGAGTTAACTGGTGTCCCAGCTGGCAGTGATTCAGCAGTCTGTGTGGAAGCTGTGTGACATTGGCAAGATTTTTTTTTTTTTGCCATATGGGCGGGTCTGCGTCACGCCTTATGCTTCCACTGACTGTGCTATCGTTTCAGCGAAATTTTACTCTGTCTTTTTGAATCTCCATTCTTGCTGTTTCAATGCAAGAACTGGACCCCTCCCTTTCATTCCCACAATTGTATTTATTACAGAATTTATACAGGGGGAAAAATACTTGATCTTTTTTCTCCAAGAACTGCTTTAGTCAGCTTAAAGAAAAATCCTGCAGAATAATACATTTCCCACTGACTAATTATGCTTTTGGGGACAAATCAAAGATGCTTCCTGATTGGTTCTGCTTTTGCTTCAGAGAGGGCAGGATTCGTTAAACTCACTTGAGAGATAAACTAAAAATTGGAATCTGTTTGCAGAACAATTAATTAAGGAAAGCCACTCGTCATTTTGATCTGTTGTTAAAGATTGTCTGTTTTTCAATTTTTCTAATCTTAACCATGTTGAAATAGGCCTACAGCAAATACCATGCTATAAGGAGTTTGGACACTGGTTTTTCTGTATATCAATTTATTTAAAAATAAACAAGGGGTGTGGATTTTTTCAAATGTAATACTCTGTGAATTGTACGTAGGAGCTCAAACATATATACACCCTGTTTCTTTTTACTTTGCCATTTTTGCTGTCATATTGAAACACATTTACATTTGACTTTTTATGTTGGTGCCCACCAAAATATCATATTATTAGAAAAATTAAAGTGAGTCAAGCTGTCAGTTTAAGTTTCAGTTTTAACATCCAGCATGCCAGGTGATTGTGCAATGGTAGCATAAGGTCATTTCTGCACTAACAGATTCACTGTGTAGCAGTGCTAATGTGCATTATACAGGGTGTACTTTGGCACTCATGGCAAAGTACACCCTGAACTTTGGAAAGGTGTACCTGGCTGCCAAAGATAAGCCATGCAGCCAAAAATAATTTAGCCTCATGGCTGATATTGTGATAAAATTGTGCATGATTTAGTGCAAGTCATTTGTGTCTTCTTTCATCTTTTGAAACAAACAATAGATGCACAGTAGCGTAACGGTGATATAATTAAATTGCAGAGAATTATTTTTGCAGTCATCAACGAGTTTTTGGTATGACCCCAGCTAGATGCTTGGCCACTTAAAACTAATTGAAGCCTATTGATCTCCTGACAAAGACTTTACTTTAAACTTTGCCTTAGATTTTCAAAATGCTTAAGGGAAAGAACATACCAGAAGCTAAATATAAGCCTACTTTGTCTATTGTTAAATTATTTTTTATTTGTGTTTGGATCATTGTCCTGAGTCTTACCCATTTGTCAAAGATTTAATTAAGTTAAAGAATTTGGATGTTGTTCTCTTTCTTCATTATCCCAACCGCTGCATTCACCAGGATGTCTCCTGGAAAAACAACCTCACAGCATGATGCCACCTGAAATAAAATTGTGTGCCAACAGTACACATTACCCAAGCACATAAAAACTGCTCTGACCTATCCCATATTAAAAATTTGTGGACTATACCTCAGGTGAAAAGAAGGAAACCAATCTGTTGGAATCAACTTGAATTAAGTGTCTCTTCTAAAAGGAAAGCTATAGTGTACAAGATATGTAGAGCAGGAAAATGAGCTTTCCAGAATCATATGGATAAACCAGATGGTGCATCATGCCTGAGTTTTTGGCTGTCCTCTACTGATGTCTTCAAAAACATGAAAAGATCATTAGTGATGACTTAGTTCTGTGTTGTCCTTGAAGTTTTGGTTCCACTTCCATCCTGTCTGGATCACAGAAAAACACTTAAAGCTCCACTTTGACCTTTCCCCTCTGACAGTGACCTTTCTGTAATGAGCGAGTTTGAATTCACTGTGCAGTTAAAAAAAGGAACTAAACAGCAACAATGATAGGGATGAAAGAAATTCTTTCTGGGTCAGCAACATAAGCAACGCTAAGCAACATTGACAGAAAGCAAATTGCATGGATTCCACTGCTGCCACAAAGAAGAGTTTGTTCTCTTTATTTATTTGTTTATTTATTTTTTACATAAGCTGTTCACAAGTTTGCATTTAAGGAAGATGCAAAAGCAAATTCATCCGAAGTTGTAAGTCAAGCATTTTTTGTGGTAATTTAAACACCAGCCAACCAATGAAGTACCCTTTCCCCCTGTCCTCACCTCAGTTTAACACTCAGTAATTTACTGAGACTTGACAGCACCATAAATCTAGTCAATCTCTGCAGGGAAAGAATTCAGCAGCTGAGCTGTGCATGCAGCCTCCGTTAGCATTATGCCACCTCAGCGCTGACAGGCATGGAGCTACTTTTATCACCACCCTCATTAGGCAGTCGGACGCTGCCAGCCAGAATCTGCCTGTGCCAGCCTGCCAGCAGGTTATGAGCCACACGTGCAGGAAGCAGCAGTTGCTGATCTCCAGATCACATTCATGCAACGATTCACCCTGTAAACAGACAGTGTTCATTTCATTTCATTCATTTCATCTCTACAAACGTCAGCAGAAGTGGTTTGTAAGCAGTCATATGTATGTAAGAATGTCATCATTAAGTCACAATATCTTGTACGAAACAGTTCAAAGGCTTACTTATGTTAGCTAGTGGAAAAGCTCATTTCTGTTTTCTTGGATTATTTTAGCATTACATCAGACCAGTAAAAAATATTTCATACTATAAATATAATATGCCTTACACAATCACTAGACAAAATGCTGACTTGACAGGTCAATGCTAAAGACGCTGGCTGTTGATGGAGTTCTGTGTCCAACCACAGTAATGAAAAGTTTCGTGGAAGGCAAATGTGTGGTAGGAAACAATGCAGCAGCCGGGAAAGATGACACCATTTAAACACTGGACAATCCAAAATACTTTACACAAAATCAAGGCAGATGCATTAAAATTAAAACTGCTTTGAAGAAAGTACTATGTGACAAACTTAAATCTTGTTCTTTAATCATTCCTCAGTGAATAGGCAAATGGTTTTTCATCTGCTCTGTAAGCTCCAGTAAATCTCATGTTTTCACTCCTGATTTAAAGGATCCAACAGCTTCTGCAGGTCTCAGGTTTTCAGAGTGTTTTCACCAGCACTGAGGAGCATAAAAACTATGAAATGTGTTTTAGCCTGAGAATTTTTAGTGCCTCTGGCTGCCACATTTTGGATGAGCTGCAGCTGTCTGCATTTTTACATAAACAACTGAATAAACTACTATAACCATCCAACTTGCTAAAATTGAAAGCATGCAAGAGGTTTACGGTGTCTGGCTTAACATAATACCCTTTAATTTGGAAATATTTTTATGATCATAGCAAGCTGATTAAGTAACAGACTTTATGTGGTTGTAAAAATTCAGATCTAACACCAAGCTACCCTGTGGTCTAATTAAGACTAGTTGAGCATTGATTCCTATTCTCATGAGCTTTGATTCCTATCCTCGATAAAATGTGTGTGTCACTGAAATGCATCATAATCACAATCACACCTGGTTCCAGCTACGCATCCAAACAGACATTCATGCAGAAACTGCAGTAGCTGCTCCACTAAAGGGTATTATTATTAATGGTACTCTCTCTCTCTTTTTTTTTTAGCTTGCTTTGATTTTTTGTGATAATACTGACGGCTCTCATTGCTCATTACCTTTAAAATTGATTAATATGAGGAGGCATCCATTATGACATCTATAAACGCATGCGAGTCAGTTTGGGGTCATAACTCATTCACACATAAGTGTGACTCTGGTTGCATTTAATTAGTACAATCACACATTCAAAAAAAGAACAGATGATTTTTTTTTGTACAGGATTACATCTTCTATACACTTATAGATACGCCAGTATATCTCAGTTTAGGCGGTGAATGATTCAAAACAACATATGAATAAAATCTTCCTAGTCTGGGTTACAACACAAATAACAAATAAACGATAATTGTATTCCTACTATCCTGTGATGGACTGGTGACCTGTCCAGGATTCACCCTGCCTTTCGCCCAATGACCGATGGAGTTGAGAATCCATCCATCCACCCTGTAAGGATGAATGGATGGAAGGGTGTATTCCTACTGTTACCTTTGATTTAAAGGACAGAGATTCAGCAGTTTTGGAGGAAAAACAGAGGCACTGTTCTGGCAGCCAAATAAATTCATTAAATAAAATGAAAATAAATGCCGAGTGGTGAGGGAACAGTTGTGATGAGAGAATATAATTTGGCTCAGCTTTAAATATTGGTGCCATATATCACTTCCTGGTGTGCTCCTCGCTGACAGACCTCTGCAAATCTATAAGGGAGGATTTTTCCATGACCACAAAAACAGTTTTACTTCTTCTGAAGTTAGCTGGACATTTTGCATTTGATTACAGTATGTAATTTTGTGTAATTATTGCTTTTTTAACCAAAACAAAGCTATTTAAGACCACAAATGTGCCACATTTTCCACATAAGTTCCATCTCAGCTTCTTCTACAGGGCCAGTTTTAGTCATATTTTCCTTTTACTTTCCTGTTTCTTCCCTAATTTGTTTCCCATTTATAGTATCAGACCTCCACCTGCTTGTGTCTGTTAAACATTTCTTCCAATTATGGCAATCTGTAAAACTTTAATAGCCTTATAATAGTGTTAGCACATGTGTCTTGAGCCAATGGCTGACTGTTTTAAATGCTTTCCAGGCATATCCTGTGGATTCCCCATACAGAAGATTTTTTTTTTCTTTTTGGTGTCAGTAAACGTTCTCCTTTTTTGGCGCTGACGGAATAATTATTTAGTGGATATACCCACTGTTTTTAATGTGAATAACTCAATATCATGAGTTTCAGGTAGTTCTGAAACTCATGCAAAAACACATAATTATACAAAGTATTTTTGGTCTAGTTTTTAGTGCAAATGTCTTGGTTTTAGACAAAACTAAAACAAAAATTATTGTTTTAAGTCAATAATTCATTGATATTGATCAAAAACTATTAGTTATATGTGAAAAAAATAACATGGAGCTAGTTATTTTTCATTAATATTAAATATATGACTTTGAACATGCATGGGAAATTTAATAGCGCTCGACTAATGTAAAGCTAATAATTAACATTCACAGCCACCTGCAGTATTTTGAAGATATCTCATTTGCTGTGTTCACAGGCTTATCTTCGCTCAGTGGATGTCAAGATTTTGCAGCAGTTACTGGCGGTCCATGAGGGCATTGAGGCAGTGAAATGGCTGATGGAGGAGCGCAGCACATTAACCAGTCACTGCAGCAGCCTGACCAGCAGTCAGTACAGTTTGGGTGAGGGCCCTGACACGTCTTGGAGAGGTTCCTGGAGCAGCCTGCAGGACCCCACGAATGACAAGCTAGACAACATCTCTATTGGCAGCTACCTGGACACTCTGGCTGATGACATGGATGAGTACTGCCCCTCCAGCTCAGAGTCCGTGATTTGCTCCACCACGCCACTGGTTTCAGAAGCTACACCCGAGAGCAACACAACCGGAGACCTGAGAGTGTCTGGAGCAGGAGCTGCTGTGGGAGCTCGGTCGAGTAATGGAGATGGGAATCAGATTCGAACTGGGACAAGTGACAAAGAAATGTTAGGGGAACATGGGGTTAGCAGTGCCATCACTGGGCCTGGAGGTAGTGAAGCTGGAATATTAGGAGCTCCTGTCAGGTTTCCCCAAGTCAAGTCAAACAGCTCCAAGGAAAACACTCCAGTCCGAACCAAGCCTGCAGAGACGGATAAGGGCAGCCCCGTTTTAAAAGACGATGCCAAAACACAAATGCTTAAGGTCAACGGTGTTCTGGAAAAAACAGCAACACAGACAGGCAGCCCGACTCGCAGAAGCGTTCCTGACAAACTGGGAACCAGACAGAGCCCCAAAGCCAAACAGTACAAAAACGGAAAGATCGACTTGGATACATGCAAAATGAATGGCAAAATGCACCTGGAGTACGATGCTCACTGGCGATGGGTGCAGTCACAGGAAGATGTGACGTTTTTGTAAAAAAAGACCATTACATTGAGGGTGAACTACCATATTAAATGACAATAACATTCTTCCCTCTGCACTGACTTTTCTAGAAAACATTGATGTCACCATTTTACAAGATTTGGCCCAATTATTTTTGCCAAAGAGGGATTCCTCACTCAAATACAGAAAAATTACTTTGAAAATTCAGCACCATAGAATGTCTCAGGATATTTTTAGCAGGCCCTAATTTTCATTTGAGATGTATATTTTTAATTTTTCTGTAGAAAAAAAAGCACAGTGACATGATTTGCCAGAGAGCTGAAACATTATTGCAGATTCTGTGATATGGCAGTGATTTCAAATTTTTCTTGTTTATAAATTTGTCTCCCTTTAATTCTTCCTCAATAATTTTATTGAGACTCAATTGCTGACCCTGATTTATTTTTTTAAAACCAGATTTAGATTGCGAGTCATAAAAATCTCTCTTCAGATTCTTCTCATGACCATTTGGCAGGTTAATCAATTGCTGACCTTCCCTTAAAACTGGACATTTCAAAAATAATGGCACTAGTGTAGTTAAATGTACCAGATTTAAAAAGACAAACTCCAACATAAGTTGTCCCTTTTTCATACAGTAGATTTACACTACATATGCTGTACAAACATATTTATGCATACCTGGCCTTGTCTAATAATTGTACAGCACACATATTAGAGCATTTTACCAAAATGTGCAGTGCAAGTCATTATTATTAAATTACTACCTAAAACATTCCTCTAACCAAAAGTAACTTTTAATGTTAAAAAATCAACCAAGGTTTGAACAAGTTTAAAAAAACAAAAACAAATAGTTTTGTCATTGTACAGTCTTGTTTCAGTGCAACCATCTACAATAATGTAAATTCACAATACAGCTACTCTGTGCATCTGTTATTAGTGGTGTCTGAAATCCTGAATACAGCCTTTTTTCAGTTTTATGCAATGAAGAAGTTGTGCCTCTTTAGTGTGAAGTTTAACAGCAAAATCCTGTATTTTTCCTAAGATGATTGCACTGTCGTTACAGCTTGAATGCCTTGGTTTGTTTTGTTTTTTTAACCACGCCTTTGCCTCTGCTAGTGTGTCCAGATGTACTGTAGCTAGGCCAGGACTCTGGCCAGGACTCTGTGCTTTTGGATGTCAATTGGTGAATGTGTTATGCGTAGATATTGCATGGCAGGTGCTGAAAGCTTTAGTTTTTGGTTTGTGGGGATGGTGTGGAAGATCGAACAATCAAGAAAAGCAATATATTTTTTAAACTCTTATTCAGAAAAAGTAATCCAATAATACAAGTTTTCTTAGATCGGAATGTTACTTATGAGCCAGAAGAAAACCGATGAGTCCCAAAGTTTTAAAAAAGCTTTTTGACTGATCTATCACATTGTTGCTATTCCTCCAGTCAATCAGCAGTTAAACATCTTGAGGTGAACAGAGCTGGGAATCTGTCATTATGTAAGCATAATATTTAGTCTAATCAGTAAAAATATTACAACACTACCCACTTGGTAACTGTATCACTGGAATACGGCATGTATTCCAGTCGCCATGCAGTGACAGTCTTTTTTCTCCTCATTGATTATGTGCGTCAGTACTTATAGTTCCCACAACAGCCTCTATATTCCTAAAATCCATATTTTAAACATCTGGTGGCAGGAATGAAAGTTAAAATATTCACATCTACATCTAAAATATTGACATCTATAGTCAACTGGTCTTTCCTACATTTGGAAAGAAAGATCTTGACCTGTACTTATGGTGGGAGTCATTGGACTTTTATTCTGTATTTCTTAAATAAAACTATTACAATTCTGATGGGCCATTGAACTGTCCAGGGTGTATATCACCTTCAGCAACCTCTGCTTAAAAGGACTAAAACTAAAAAGTATCATTCCAAAGTTGTCACTGTGATAAGAAAAATGTTTGGCAAATGATTTAAAGATTTTGTTGTAAAACTTAGTAACTTATAGTATTTTCATCTGAACCACTGGAGTGTTTTCTCTTCTCCTCACTTTCTTTTCATCCCACTTTCCCCCCTTACCCATAGTAGTAGAATGGAAATGTTTAGTCTGTGCCAACAAACATTATGTACACACAATGGTCTCTCATTGGAGACAGCTCCATCGAGACAAGTAAGAAAAAGTGTGCTCAAACTTGACCCTGAACACTTAAACAAGTAACCCTAAAAGAACCCCACTTCCCCCTCTTTTCTCTTTAAACGCAATACACACAACTACAACCCTGGTGATGTTTTCATTCACAATACTAAAATGAAGTCTTCTGAAACGTTAGTTCCTTTCAACATATGTGCTGGATGAAAAGCAATAAAAACAAGGGATGTCTGTGCGACTTCTTTGTGGTTTTGTTTCCAAATGAATAGAGGTTTGAGTTTTAAAAAAATAGCAGTGAACCAAGCTGCAAAACTCATTACATCACTACGTAGTGTGTCTTTAAGTGGATACACTGCAGCCCACGGTGGGTTTAATGTGTTTTCTCTAGTCAGATCCAGTTTAGATTTGAAAAATCGACATAGTTTTAGTTCAACTCATGGCAGAGATTTAATGAGTGCAAATGATGCAAGGAGGAGCTACTTGTGCTCTGTTATTTTGGGAGAGAAAATGACTGCTGTGACAGTTGTTTTTTCAGGCAAATCTGAAATAAATCTGGGATCTTATTTCTTTTAGAAGACATTATCGCTGTCTAAATGTTCTAGATGTTTTTAAATGCTCACTTTAATGGATCTGACCAGGCTTCAGGTACCAGCACCCTCAGGCTATTCTGGGAACAAGATAAATAGCACGATTACGTAGATGAGTTGATGTGCACAGAAACACAGTTGCCATGACAATGAGGCCGAGCAGGCTGCAGCTCGAGTGTCTATATAAAAACACACAGAGTACAGCAGAGGCAGCAGCAGTGGAGCAGTATGCTTTAGATACCAGATTACATAAAAGATTTACTGACTCAAAGTTAGAATGAAGTTTTTAATCTGGCATTTTAAAGATGACACCTAAAACGAGTTGAATTTCCTTCAAAATAAGTTTTGAGAAGTTCAGATAATTCCATAAAAGAGACGCAACCAGATTAAATTTAACATGTATAAAGATTAACACCAACATCACTCACAAATGAGTGACAATTATTAAACAAATCAATCCCAACACAGTACTAACTTAAACATTTCAAGGTACTTGCCCAAGTATCAACTTTGTTCTGTGTCATATTCAGTAACATTCAGAGGCAAATATTACAAATAATGGTCAATTAAAAATGCTTTCTAACTCAGCCTTCCTTACCAACTAATGAAAGATTAGTTTGTCTACTGAATGCCACGTGGACCTACAACCACTACACAAATAGATTGATATATTTGAAGAAACTAGTGAATGCGGCTCATTTTAGCTTTGATCAGCTGCATATAAATAATAAGTATTTTTGTTATTCTTTAAATTTTTTTTAACCTAAAATCACTGGCATTTCTACAACTGAGTGATTCATGTTAAGTTGTATTCAGTTTTTTAGCTCAGTGTAGCCATTTCCATACCCAACATTCAGAAGTATGTAAAAAATAAAAAGTGAAACAAAAGACAGCTGAGAAATTTGCCAGTCATGGTGTTAAATCAGAAAAGCTAAACCCAGGGGAAAATGAAGACATTATCAACCTAATTAGTTATCGCAAAGTCTCCTGCTCAAATTTATAAAGTGAAGATTAATGTGACAATTTAATACCTTTGTTAGAAAAGAACATTTGAAGAGACCTGAAAAAGACTCCTAAACACACTTATTTTGTTTGAATGTATCAGTATGGCTAATTGTTTCACTTTTTTTTTACTTTTAGCTCATCCAGGCTTCCAACACAGACAATTTTGTTGCAAAAGTTCTCACTCTGTCCTTTTTCAGAAATCCACTCAACATATTTGGTATTTTTAAGTAAAAAATCCCGTCTGTATATCCTTGGCACAATAATAAACATAGGGGATTCAGAACTTACAGAAATTACTGGTTTCTGGCACTTGCTATTTACTGTTGTTGTTTGTTTTTATAGTTGCTATGAAGTTCAATTTCTCAGAGCAGTAGAAAGCTCAAATGGAGAGATGTCATTTAGTTAATTTAGAAAAACTGAAATATTTAAATATATTTAAAGGTTTTATTGGCTCTGGTGGCCTTTAAAACCAATAAGAAAATCCTGGAAAGCTATGGCAGCGTCTTATTTTGTGTAGTATTATTTGAGCTACAATACTCCTGTGCATGTAAACAGAAGATATTGGAATTTAACTTTGAATTACAATGACTCCACAAAGCATTAAATAAAGAGAAATAAACCTAAGCTTATAATTTTCTAACATGTGAAGGAGCATGTTTTAAAACATTGCTGTAATATTTTAAATTGGACAGGCACACTGCGTTCCTTCCTCTTAGATGACAGCATTATTTTTCTTGGCATCTTATTTATATGTTATGCTTCTGTTTGTCTTTGTTCATGTGTCAGACTGCAAAAAGAAATGGAAGTGAACCCCACTGACTGCACAATGAGGTCTGACATGGATCCAAAACCAAACTTTGCCAAATCTCAGCAAAGAAAATAAAAAAAATAAAAGCCCTCTACAATACAGTTATCTGGATCTGTTGAATATTCATGTTGATTTATTGAGTGAATTTCTGTGATCAGAATTCTTTTTTGTTGTTGTTTTGTCCTTGTTATGCAATGGAAAACATTGATTTTACAATTGTAAACTAGAAGTATTCAATCATTGACTTTGTTGATGTGCAGAATATATATTCAGAATGTAAATAATCCAAGCGTATCCAACAATTAAAGACATTAATGTATTTTAACTTTGATCCTGTCATGTAAATGTCTTGTTTATTCTTCTTAGTTTTCAGGCTCAGTTTAAGAAGACTCCTGTGTTTTTTTTGTCTAGAAAATTGATCATTGAAACAGGCTTTCTGAAGCTTAAGATCACAACTTTGCCAACTCAAGATGTTTTCCTTCCCTTAATGCAAATTACTTTGAACACTTTCATTGAGATTCCTGATCAATATTTGCCCTTTCCACAAATGTTTAGCGAAACAGATCCATTATCGATCAGGGTAGTCAATGGTCGTTCACGCATGCACACACACACACACACACACACACACACACACACACACACACACACACACACACACACACACACACACACACACACACACACACACACACGCACACACACACACAGTCTGTGGTACTTTCTCATCTGATTCTTGACATCCAGACAAACACAGTCATGTATTATATGACTTAAAGTAATTTTAATACAAAAATGTGACATTATGGTCATGTTATGGTCTACACAATCATCAGAAAGAATATGGTCTTGACAGTTTTTCTGCAGACAACCTCCACAAAGTAAGTCACAAAAGATCAGTCCTAGAGAAGCACATCTTCACAGATTGCTCTATACAAGCTTACATAATGAACATTTGAATGAAAAGAAAAAGTTTGGAAAATATATATATATATATATATATATATATATATATATATATATTTTCCAAACTTTTTCTTTATATATATATAAATATATATATATATATAATATATATATATATATATATAATATATATATATATATATATATATATATATATATATATATATAATATATATATATATATATATATATATATATATATATATGGCAGACTTCAGTTTGTAGACAACCACCATTCAGATTTTTGAGAAAATTCACAAAGCTTGGGAAGAGCTACGACATTCACCACATGGGTTATTTCATAGAGCTGGAATTGGGATGGACAAGGACTGTCCACACAGACAAAACCACCAATTAGTGGTTTAATCATCATGGTAACACCAGGTTTGATTGAACAGTAAGATGGCCCAAACTAAATTTAATTTCAGAAAAGCAACTGAGCAGATATACTGTAAGGTATACAAATATTTTTTTATAGTATAAAACTGTGAGTGGGATAAAAAGATCTCAACATAAATAGAAATTTCAAATATTGTGTGTATTAAATATTACCAAAATAATGGCCCAAGTTATTTTTTTTTTCCAAAAGTGATTTTCTTTGCTTAAAACTTATTTTTAAGAGGAGGAGGTGTTGATTTTTTCAGCAAAATTATTGGTGTGTCAGAAGGTCATTTGAAGACGAGTGTGAAGATGCCCTGGAAGTGTTTTGAAGCCAGAGCCTGGATGTCAAGAATCAGATGTGAAATGGTTACAGAACCTAACTGTAAAACTACATGTTTGTTTGCTATGATTGAATTATGATTATTCCCAACAACGATCCAAGAGCAAGCATCATGTGTCTCTTGGTCAAATCAGTTTAAAGAGCAGTTTAATAACTGCTCTTGCGGTTTTAAACATTAGTGTAAATTTGATTGGCTTATAAAACCAAACTAAAACTACTGGTTTTGTTTTAAAATAGTTATAGGCAAACAAAAACTGAAATATTTGAGAGCCTGAACAACGCTGTGTTCTGCAAAGTCGGAGACGTTCTTCTTTAAATGCCATGGGGAGTTTTCTGTAGCAGCGCACATCTCTGTTAAATGAACCAGGAAAAGTGTTTGCAGATGCTGAACACGCCTGAGTCAGCAAACGTTTTCTTTTTACAATCAGAATTCACACAGCGCTTTCACATACAGGCAGGCTAGATTGACCATTTATGTGAATTTCAGTGTTTTCACCTGTGTTATATTCAAAGCCTCGATAGAATGGCTCTGCACTCATTTTCTGTGTGGAGAAAATATTTATTTACAAGAATAAACCAGTAAACCTGATGTTAATGACAGTTATCATTAACCTGATGTTAATGACAGAAGAAAATTTGATACTTAATGTCTTTCAAATGTATTCTTAATGCTTGAACTTTTCATAATTTATGTTGTCGAACATAAATGAACATTATTGTGAAATGGAGGGAAAAGTTTGCACTTGTATTTAGGTTCATTCATGCAAGTCTCCCACTAGATGTGACACATTCCATACAGCAGAGTTGAAAAAAAAGGGGGTTTCTAAGTCCCAGATGTGAAAAGTGCCGAGATTTGTTCAGCTTTAGTAGTTCTGCACCTGGATTAAAGAGTGAGTGGTTCAGACATCTGGTGGACTGGTGGCCAGAGAGAGGACGAACTTTCAAAACTAAACCAGACATTGTGTGCAAAGCCTGGTCAAAACATGACTAACTCGCACAATGCAACATTCTCAGTACAAGTCATTTGAACTTTTTAAATGCTTTTTAATGAGTTTTTAATGTCAGTCTGCATTTAGATGCCCAAAATTCATTGGTGTGTGCAGGCAGTAAATGAAATTAGAGGAAAACAAAAGTGCTTCATGAAATAAAGGAACTTTACTGCTGTCAATTTGCATGCTGACATGTGGTGAAGGATTTTGGATTCAAGACGCTAACATCAACACCAAATATTAGCTTAGACAGAAAATATTTTTTGGAAAATTGGGTTAGCAAGGTAACAAATGTTCCTATTTAAATAAGCCCCTCACTTACTCTGAACATGAAGCCCTCACATTTAGACGACTAGACTCTGTTTGCGTCCAGTGAAAACATTGCCACTGACGGCTGTTTTGTCAGCCATCCAGTCACGTCATGGTTACTGACTATAATGAACCACAGACTCCAGCCACACTGCACCACTAATGTCTTTTAGTGCTGCTCCATATCATGACAGCAACTGTTTAAAATACTTTGGGTCTTTTAAAATTGCACAGAAAACCACCACAGGCTGCAGTGCCAATGCACTTGAGCTGTCTTTTACCTTAATGCCTTTTGTGTTGCTTTATTTTTGTCGGTCCATGCCAGGGAAGAACAAAGTCAGGAAAAAAAAGAGAGAGAAAGTCAGTTCTTTCTGTTTTGAGTGGTTGAATGGTTCAGGTGAAAAATTTTTATGCTATTGAAGCAGATAAATAAAAATTGGACTTTTAAAAAATATGTTCACTTGTTCATTTGCATTTCATTTCCTTATGATGATGATTTCTCAGTATTTCACAGATTCTTTAGGATATTTCTGAATCTAATTTTTTTGTATCAGTCTATATATATATAGTTGTAGGTTTTATTCATTAACAAATGTACAGTAACCACCAACACAGTTAGAGCTCAACAGCTGGATTTATACAGACATCAAATGACACATATGGACTATTTCCTAATTAGGTGACAACTAGAGGATAATTTTGGAACTTGATCTAATTTACGGGAATCAAAAGAAATGCAAGAAGCAATTGCAGATATTTTCTCTGTAACTATGTATAATTTAACTTTTTGCTGGTCTGTCACATACAATTATTTGAAGTACACTGATGTTTGTGACAAATATGAAAAAATACAAATATCTTAGTTTTGCTAATATTTGCAGGGTAAAGTATCTGGGCATTTTCTTCTTGATGGGAAATTGATTATTCCAGCCTTTTTGTATTTTCAGGGCTTCTTATAGATTCCCTGATATCTCATCTTTCTCCTCACATCAACAACAACACGAATCCTCCAACGGTCTACCAGAACTTTCCCAGAGGATGGTGCATCCCATGGCGTCGGTAGCACTGAGTGTTTTCACTGCAGAGGTCTTCAGACTGTGGGACGCATAGAGAAACAAACAAAAAGGGCAGAACTGGGCCACAGCGTTCCCACCAAGTGACATGATCCAGTGTGGGTCAAGGTCAGTAGAGGTCAGCATTTCAGGAAATGTTGATTTAGCTCCTATATGGCGACACAATGGTGGGGTCTAAATGAAGCCATCTGTTTTGTGCCATTGTCACTGTTTGTGTTCAGTATTGCAGGATTATTGCAATAACATTAATCCTACAGGTTGTTGTCATTGCAACTGTTCAGTGCTTACTTCTTTGATACATTTATGAATGGAAAACAGCACAACATAATGGAGCTGGAAAGTTTGTTAGACAAATCTGTAAAGAAGGGGAATCAGTGACAGCAATGAGAGCAGTAGGTGACACTACCTCTTTTGCTTTATTTTACTGGTTTCCTCTACAAGGTCAGTGCTACATTTCAATGAAATAATCTCCTTTCCCACTCAAAATGGGGGTACAAACCATAAATACAAAGCAGAAAAAAATTTAGTGTATTTTTACAAAACTAAATTACAGTGAATAAATCTGATTACAGTTTTATGACAAACTCATCTAAAAATATGAGATTGTAGGATTAGATTTTTTTCTTGTTTCTAGGCATTTAAGTTTACATTCTTTGGAAACTTTGTTTCGATTAATTTAGCTGGTTTTACTGAAGACAATATGGGACTCTGGGGAGCACTGCTAATGCTTCATCAACAACCCTCTGGTCTCTAATACTGCCTCCACAGCATATGGGAATGTATTTTCCTTCCATTTGCCCATATGTGGATCCATAGTTCTCATAGTGATAGATCCATACCACCACTCTCTTCTGTCCCAAGGTACATTAGCAGTAGGCTTTCCTACATGTTAGATGAAGAGTAAATCAAATGATTATCTTCAAATAGATAAAAAACGATCAGCCTCTTGGCATTAAAGCTACTTTGGTTGTCAGGATCACTGGAATACATCCTGAAGCAGCAGCCAGAAAATGCTGCAGGAGTGCACAGAGGGCTGGGCTGTTTCGCTACATTTTAGCAATGGACCTCACACCAATTAGGCTTAACCGAGTGTCAGAATAAATAGGGTGGGCATTCAGCTGACCGCCTTTCACTGTATTAGCCGGAGACAAGTGCGCTTTGTGACTGATCCGGAGGCATTTTGTACATTTGACCCACTTACAACTAACTGGGCTGCCTTTGGTGGTTTTAAAAGACTAGCATTCTCTCTAAGAACAAATGGACAAATCAGGTTTTCAATGAGGGATGAAGGATATTTTAACTCTTGCAGAAAAGCAGAACAACAGATCAAGGTCAAAGATGAGCTCTAATAAGAAACATTCACAGTCTGTTACATCAGTCTATACAATTTCAGGAATGTTATTTATGCATTGCAATGTTTTTTCTTGATATTTGGCAATGCTATCACCAAGATGGTTAAAAAATATAACAATGCACTTAACCACCTGTTTGAAACCTTATAATGACCATGGATGAGGTTAATATAGAAGTAAATGCATTCAAGATATTGGCTTGAGGAATAACGCAGTTTTATGTTGGAAGGGTCCCTTAGAAAAAATAGATAAAAAGGGAACAATTCAGGAGACACAGATTGTATATTTACAACCCTCTCAGAGTGAGATGACAACATGGAGTTCTATTAAAACAAAATGTAAAAAACTTAGTAGCCCCCAGTAGAGAAACAGCCCCAGGAAAAGGTTTCACAGCTCAGTAAAACCTCTGTTGATATGAGTTTTATCCAGTAAAAGACTTTGAACCCTGTTGCTCTGTTTACTCAGCTCCGGTCCACCTGCAGCAACTGATCCTTTTAAATATTCTTTTTTTACTGTGGATTCAGATTTTTCTCTTTTGTTGCACTCCTCTCGCTTAATGATAAATGCTCCTTCAACTAAGCTGACCAAGAATTACAAATTACAGGAACATCACATTCATGTAAAATCTAAATCTAACCAACCAAGCAAAAAGCCCCCAGTGCCCTTCTCTCCTTTTGACTGAAAGCGTAAATCCAGATGTGGCTCTGAATTGAGCACAGGGAGAATGTTCTCATTTCCCTTTGCTTGAGGTTTGGAGTGAATAAGCACACAACCTGACCTTGACCCCAGTTTTTAAGGCCTTCAAAGCCAACATGGATCAGCATCTGTAGCTGCAACCCCTCATGGCTGCTGCACCCGTTAATGCCAGGAGATCAGAGGGATCAGCAGCATCAAGCTTCTTGTTTTTTTTTTTTTTTTTGCCTGATTCACATTAACCGGCTTGATGAAAGAGGCTCCATGGAAAGGGAGTCGGATTATGAATCTGAATTGTCTTAAACTGTGAATTTGTGAGGTTTACTTCATCTAGCCAAGTGAATTTGCTTACAAAAATATATATATAAAAAAACATTAGACCATAAAATTCATCTGCCAGAATACTTTAAATTACATTTGCATAAGATTCATAATATTGCCAGAACCAATTTTCTTGAGAACATTTACACTTTGTTCTGGCTTAACATCGCTGCACTATGAATCCCAACAAGCAATTTTTTAGTATAAGTCTAATCAAATAGAAATGTACATATGTCTTATAAAAATATTTCAAAGCATCTTTCAGTTGCCTGCAGCTTTATGAGCACTCACACACAAAGTCAGTCTTTGAAGACTGACTAGACAATTACAAGAGAAATTTGCTATTTTGCTGTTTGAACCAGTGAACTGTTATTCAGATATGGAATTATAACTTTAGATGCAATGTGTTGTCTAGGAACTGCAGCAGGACTTGAAAATATTTCACAAATTCGCTTAACCAGGCAGGAGAAATTAATTTACAACATGGTAATAGGCATGGGCTTTTGAGGGGAAAAAATGGGTTTATAAAAGAAAACTTGGAATAAGGAAACAAAAACAACATAAACAGAAAAGTTGGGCACTTTTCTGTTTATGGAAAAATCAAAGCCATGTCTTTGATTTTTCTGGTAAATCAAAAATGTTACCAGGAAAATCAAAGACCTAGCTAACACATGCTACTGCAATTACTGAAGTGGCTGCAGCTTTTATCCTCCATCAAATCTGATGGAACTTGAACTATTCTGCAAAATGTCACTTTCTGGACAGATCTCAGAGCGAACAGAAATCCCAAAGGAGAATAGACGTCCACAAAATGTTTCTCTGCCAGGTTAGACATGAGATATCATCCCTGGCCTTTCCCGGAAATATGACCTGAACTGATTTTTTTTAATCATTAAATCTTGAACTAAAAACAACAATGCTAAAATGTTCTCATCATGGCTGACATTTCAACACATTAGTAAAAACATAACCTCCCCCTCTGTCTGATGAATTTGATCCTGCAGCTTTCTGTCAGGCATCCAGCCTCTGTGATTTGTAGCGTCTCTTTGCCAAAGGCAGCAACAGTTCTCACCACCATGTCCTTCTATGGCAAGTACAAGACAGAGCCTGGAAGCGCCGTTCTCCCCTGACATCATTGAATCTTGACTGGTGATGCTTTTCTGCCCCCTTGTGGCTGAAAACTGCAAACGAAGACACGTTATCTGTTGTGGCTAATAGATTTTACATTTGGAAATCTTTGTTCCTGTTGCTCTTTTACAATTTTTGTGAATAAAAAATGATCAAATTTAAATTAATTGTTTCACTTCTTTTGTGTGATTTCTTTGTTCTAACTGCTGAGAAAAGTCTGAGAACGGCGTATAAATTACAGACATTGAATTTAATATTACTGCTAATATTGCTTTAAGTAAATCTGACATTCTTAGGGGCCTTTTGTGGGCATGTATTGGTTATAAAATTTGTAATCACTGAACACGTCTTGAACAGACACTGATGCCTTTGAGATATTTTTACTGACTGCAGCCACAAGGTGGCGGTACATTATTGCTGCTGGAAGAAACTTGCTGCAATAATAATTGTTTTGATAATTGTTCTGAACATGTTCAAAGCTCGTATACATTCTGCATTTTTTTGTGACAATTCTAACAAATTAATATGCAGATGAATATGTAATTTTAAGTCATTTCAAGTTTGAGTGAATTTTGGCTCAGCACTGTCAGGTGTTCGGGGTGAAATACTTTCTTTATTCAAGCAATGTGATGAAGTGATTGAGTATGTATTTATTCTCCGCTTGTCCCTGAAACATATTCATAATTTATTGCATCTCATTTCATAATTGTCCATAATGCATTAGTTTAAGATTGCAACTTAAAAAAAAAAATAGTTAATCTTAGTCTCTGCTGAACAAACCACTCAGATGCACAATACATTCTTTATTGTCACAATGAAAAATAGACAGAACATCTCCATAAAGAGTTACAGTGATTCAATTTTCTATATTTACAATATTTTCATATCCATCTTTAGATCAAAACATTCGTTTGTCTTTAACAAATTTCATTTCAACATTCAAGAAAAATGTTACATTGTTCACATATTTAAACCAAACCCCAAATACATTACGACACAAAATACACAAATAGTCAAATTTAGCAGGTGGTTCAGTCAATGAGGGGAATAAATGCATAAGCTGCCAATAACTGAACAAAAATGCCCACAAAAATGACCTGTAGTAACTCACATTTTCAAGATTTTGGATATTTTTCTCCTTTTCGGTGTCAAATGTGCTTTAAGGAAGCTGTAAGAGGCACAACATGGGATTTCTATGGCTCTGTCCAGCTCTCTCTGAAGCAAACTTTAAATTGAACAAAAAGGAAAAGAATAAGAAAAAAATTCAACACAGACTGTAAAAAGCTGCAGATCACTTTATTTCTGAACGTTATTAAATACACCCACTGTAAATTGTGTAACCAAATGTAAACCTCTTCTGTCTGAAACTTCTTCAATTTGCAAACAGTTTGCTAAACTTAAGATTTTTTTTTTAGAAAAACTTCTGTATCAGTCACCAATATTGATCAACTTTGATTTACAGACAGAGAAAAATCCTATTTAAACCTCAGTACAGAAGGAAATAGATGAAGAAATTCTTTTTTCCATGAGAAGTGTGCCATTATGGAATCTTTTATTGCACCACAAATATCAACTTTTTTTTGCTGTGTGCACTTTTTACAAAGTGCACATAGGATGAATGACTGGCTTTGGTAACAGGGTTCCTACTCATTTTTCACAGGTTGTTGCAGAGTAGAAACCCTGTGTTAAATGGAAAAGCACATCTCTCTTCACAACAATGGCACATGCTTTGATGAGAGCTAAGGTTTGCTGTTATGTGTGCGGGGTGTGATTTACGTCAGGCTTCCTATACTGAGGCATGTACAAAGAGGCAAAAGTACAAGTTGACACTTGCACCAGCGTCTTGGAATCCTTCGACTCATCTGGGTTGAGCAAAGGGTACAACTCTACAGAACAGTCCTCTCTGATCAAATGTGTGCTTTTCAGAAGCTCAGTTTGTGTCTCCTCCTCCTCCTTCTCCTCCTCCTCCTCCTCCTCCTCCTCCTCCTCCTCCTTCTCCTCCTCCTCATTTTCTTCATCCTCCGGTGGATGTCCGAGGTCGAGATAGTGCAAGGCCTTCTTTTGACCCACATCTATGTCGTCTTCTTGCTCTGATGCTTCAGAAAGCTCTTTTTCAGAGTTGTAGGAGTAGGATCTCCTTGGATCATCTGATTCTGTACCACGATAGCTGTCAACTTCCCACAGTCCACCAGGAAACGTTTCAGAGATATCTGAGTTGTTGGCTGAGAAGTTTCCCTCATCACTGTAGCTGCTCCTACTTCCCTCCTTGTAGTGGAGATGAAGAGGTGGATGATCTGGATTTGTATCAGTGTGCAGGACCTTGGAGTATGTGACCAAAGACTGGGCTGAGCTGTTCGTGGTTCCTGAACTCTGCTCCACCAAGGCATTGGCTGCCTGTAGCTTATTTAGGTGTGAAGTAGTTAAGGGATCTGGACTAGAGTCACCACCAAGGGCTGTTTCACACTGCAGCAACTGGCCAGTCCTTGGGTCCAAACAAGGCAGAAAGGAGTTAGTTGAAGCAGCAACAGAGCGTGGAGACAAGAGAGTTGGGGTTTGGACAAAGGCCTTTGTCAGAGTTTTATTCACAACAGTAACTTTAGAGATTTTCTCAGGGGTCAGCGGAGAGGCTTGAAGACCCTCTGGAGGTCGGAACAGGTACTCAAAGCCGTCCGTCTGTAGAAATAAGTGCACTTTAGTAAGAGAAAGATATTTTATTTTGCATAGCTAAACTTGTTTGAGATATAAACAGTATTACAACAACTCAAGTAAAACACAGGGTTAAAATCCAGGCCACTCAGGTGTGGTAGATTAGCTTCAGTATTTTCTCTCACACTCTTCTCCCTAATGATATAAACAGTTGTATTTAAACCTGTACACACATAAAGACATGCAATAAAAACAAAAAAATGTTTATTTCTCTCTCTCGTTCTCACTCACAATTATGGTGAAGAAGCATGTTTCATAAAGATAAGTCATTTGAATTGTGACAAGAACGTTGTTAGTGTGGGATGTCTGCTGTGGTGTCACCGGGTGAGCAGGATGGTGAGTGTGTTTCTAAACTGAACCTTTCAAAGAATGGATCAGTCTGTCCAGACTTCTATCAGTTTCTTCTTCACCCATGTCCACACATTTTGTATATTGCTCTGCTGGAAATGCTCCTCCATGCTTGCCGTCTCATATGTTCATTATGAGTTGCTTTTCAATGCTCTTCAATGATTCCACATCTCCCTCTCTTGGTAAGCATTTCCTTTGGGTCACTGGTGACCCAAGGTTTGTCATTGAGAAAGCATCTCTCTGTTTAGCCATGTGTTATGGAGTTTTATGTCAAATAGGGCAAGGAGAATTGAATCCTTTTGTCTTTGAGAGGTTTATTAAATCTTGTTATAACAAGGAGTGTTTTTCTGAGCTCTGGCTGCTCGCAGGCAGACACAAAATTTATACTCTGCTTTTGAAACCACTCATCATTTTCCCACTCCTTAAGATGACCTCAACATACTAACAGCTGAAGCAAAGGCTCCAAGTTACACCACTTTGGTAATGTCTAACAGACACACTCTGTTCTATTGTACCTATTAATTAACTTTTAAGTGCATATAAGAAACTGCAAAGTTAAATGTTCCATTACTGTAGGGATTGCATTGTCCACAGAGAAGTTTACAAGTACATCCAGTCTTAGCATTGGCTCCATGTGGCTGGCAGAATGCATCCTAGTTTGTGGCATCAAAATAACCAAGCAGAGATTCGTCAACTTCCTGTGATCATCTTTTCATGGGAAGTGAAAAAAATGATAAAAATCTAAATGAGAGGTTTATACATCAAGCATAGAAACACAAGTTTAAGGAATGCTTTAACAATGTTCAAAAAGCAAATTCATTTAGTTTTCCCTAGTAGAGCAGTTGACAAAGTGCCAACAGAGAGCAAGCAATGGTTTAAATCTTCAGATATTGCTACCGCTCTCAAAAGCAAGACAGAAAGCTGTTGGGAGATGGAGGTATGGTCATCAAACATCCATTACTGCTTTCCTGATACTTTGTCTGTCTAAACCTTTAAGATGTCAAAAAGTATCCCCCTGTTATAAACAGTACCTCTTGATATGGTAATGAATCAGAACAACTGCCTAAAAATAAAAAAGTAACCGCAAAAATTATTTCTGCTGGACACCAAAAAAACAAACACACACACACACACACACACACAAAAAAAATCGTCATTCATAGCAGCTGCGTCAGCTACAGGAATGAAGAAACTAAGAAATATACTGCAAGGAATGTGGCAGAGCCGCTCACCTTGTGCAACTTATTCTAAATCATCATAAAACTGATATTAATGATAACAGTGATGATAATGATATAATTTAAAAGTGTTTTTATCTTTATAAGCCACTTATCATCAAGTGTACAAAAGGCTGTGATTTTTACAGGGGTTCAGTCCAAATCCAAGCAGATCCAAGCAGATCCAAGCACATCTCCTTTGGAAAGCCAGCTGCTGCTGCTGGCTATCCAAAGGAGTCTGTGTTTGGTGACCTTTTCAGAGGAGCTGGAAGCAGAATGATTGACCAGAATTGGATTAAGCCATGTCTTAATTATAGAAATATGCTGACCCTTACACAGGATTAAATGGCTAATCTTGAAAGTGGGAATGGATTCATCATTTGGCAGTAGTTGTCATGTTTATATAGCAATTGTTCTGATGATTTAACTTGATCTAAACATCTAAAATATGCACAAATTAAATCTTATTCAGCTATTTTGTTTGTTTTTTTTAGAATTCTTTATAATCACTTCAAATCTTTGTAGAATCTGGTAAGCAAGAAATTTAATTTCTCCGATGGTTCCTTTACCGTTTTAAAATCTAGTCCTTTGGCCCATGAGCACTTGTTCGGGTTTGGAACATCTTTCCACACAATTTTTTTCATCCTGCAAACACAAAAAACAAACATTTAGGTGGATTCCAGCAATCGACTTCTTCTCCATTTCACTCACATGTCTGACTCCTTCTCCTCAGATCAGGAAACATCAAATGTAATTACACCCCTTAACCTCTTAAATGTCACGCTTCTAAATTTTCCTAAACAGTCTGTCGGGAACTTCAATTAGTCCACACAGCACAGATTAACATCATTTATCATTTCTTACAGGTGACTGCCAGAGAGATAGATTCTGTTTACACTGATCTGCAATTAACACCCACATCCGAACATAAATGTTTTTAGAGATCGTTATTACTAAACAAGCTCTTACTGGTTTTGGGAGAGAACCAGGGTGACAAACACAGCAATGCAAAGGAGGGAGATGAACATCAACATCCTGTAAGCTGGAGGATTTCCTGTCTTAACTGTAACAAAGTGAAAATTCACATCAGTTACCAAACAATGCAATTTCCATGCAGGCATTTGATTGCATTAATTGCCATAAGTGGAAACAAAGAATATACCTATTGCAACAACTGGTTCTCCTTCTCCATCAGCATACACAGGGTATAAATGGAAGGCATACTCCTCTGAGCTAAAGAAATCTCCTTTAAATTAAACATTAAAACAGCAGATTGATTACAGGCCAGTTAGCAAAGAGAGACTACTGTCACAGATTTCACACAATGGGCTACCTCGTAACTGGGTAGGAGGTTCGGTGTAGGACAGTTTGGCCCACGTTTTTCCACTTGAACCAAAGTCTTCAAAGTCCTGCTGCTTCCTTGGGAACCACTGAACCACCATGAAGAGAGGGACAGAGCTGATATGCAACAGGCTCCAGGACAGAGATACACAAGTGTTGTTTATAACCAAAACGTGGAATGAATGCACACAGCGGCCTGCAGTAGAAGAGGGAAACAAAGAGTTCATATGTCACTCGTGGTCACATTCAACAAGGTAAGGGGAGCTTCAGATATTTTAAACTTGATATTTTACCATGTCAAGTTTATCACTTGATATGTTAACTTGCGTCAATGAATAACAATCCCTCTGTGATTGTCATTCATAAGGGCAGCTCAATATCAGAAAAAAATATTTGCTTTACTATTATTGGAAACTGAAAGAACTATATAAATTATGATTTCTAATTTTTTTCTGACAATTTTCTTTCACAATAATCCCACCATTTTTCATGAGCTTTGACATCTCAGCCACTAAAGATATACATCAGGTGTGAGCATTAATGGCTGTTAGAATCCATCTGACTTGTCAATATTATTGATGTGCAGAGCATGAATGCCTGACATTATCTTTGTAATTGCAATATTGCACAGAGTGAAATTTAGAAGACGATTGTGATATTGTCCAGATCTATTATTTATGGTATTGATTTACTTAACCATCTTCCCAGGAGTTTAGAATCTAAGCTCTGTAGCGTTTTTTAGTCTACCACTAGTGTTTTATCACTTTCAAGTCCAAAACTGCATTTTTTTGTCTTTACGTTTCTGCTTTTAGCCCAGTCCTCCGCTCATTATTTTTAATTGCTTCCTGTTTTTCTATCCATCCATCCATCCATTTTCTGAGCACCCTTCTCCCTAATAGGGTCGGAAGGTGCTGGTGCCAATCTCCAGCTGTGTTCCGGGCGAGAGGCGGGGTACACCCTGGACAGGTCGCCAGTCTGTCGCAGGGCGCTTCCTGTTTTTATCTCATGTAAAGCTTTATCGCTTGGCTTTTTGTGAGAAAAGTGCTATATGAATAAAGGCACATTGGTTTATCAGACAAACAAGGAACATGTGTTCTTTTGCACCTGTTGCTAATGGACTTATTTGTAACAGTGTTTTCGATAATTTTGTCACTGTCCATTTTCAGGGAAAATGAAAAATCCTTTCTATGCAACAAGCACTTACTACCATTCATCATGGAGGCAACCGACACAGAGGACTCTTATTAAACATGCACCCTGCTACTTTACCTCTGTAATATTACCTGACATCACTAATGCTATTAGCCGCTAGGCATCAATAAAGGCTTATGAATGGGATCCGTACAGGTAAATATTTTGATGTTGTTTTTGTTGTGTTAGTACATTTTTTTCTGCTATGTACTTTACAGATAGGAGTGATGAACACACGGTATAGAGAAAAATAGACAAACATATTTGTTAATGTCACAGGATTTTCATCATAAATGAAATCCCATTCTTTTTAACATTATCTCGAAATGTTCAGGTCGACCATGTTACTCATAAGATCATTTCAAAACCACAGAACATGTTTTTTTCCAGTAAATATCCATGTTTCAACTTATGCCTGTTAGCTCTGAATGGGACTAAATGTAACTGCACACATCATTTCTTCTCATGATATAAAGAATAAAATATGGTATAAGTGAAATCTTTAAATTCTGGTTTTCATGAAACATTTTTGAATCTTTCCTCTTTTACGCAAATGTCGACGGTCAAACAGCAGTAAAACAAGGACCATTATGTCCATCTACATCTTCTTGTTTGTCTGTGATCCAGCATGCTCACTAAAAGTTCAGACCAATTATGGTGTTCAAAGCAAAGCTCTCGTAGTCTCAAAAGCAGGAGAACTATCTCATCCAAACTCTTCTCACATACGAGTAACAGGAACCGCAAGAAAACATGTTGCATATCAGAATTATCAACAAGTCACATCACAACAGAGAGGAAGAAAGATAGCATTAGCTTTCCGCCTGTATAAGCAAATCCTTCTGCAAAGATCCTCAGTCACAGCAAGATGTGCATTCACAGACAACCTCAGGTAAATGTGTCCAGTCTGAATTTCTTTAAAATACATGGGAAAGTTACATACTTTAGCTGAAGCAAAGTTAGAAGATTTTAGAATTTTAACTTCAAAGTACATGTTTTTAAAAGACTTTTTTTAGTTTCATAAAACAAGAGCTACTGTGTATTTTTTAGCATAACATTGGGGAATGAAAACTTCAACAGCTTTAAAAAAAACCCCAACAAAACATTAAATTAGAAATGTTCTCTGTAAATTATATTTTTGTCCATTAAACTTTTGAAATTGTTTGTACTCACCCCATAAAATATTTTTTGGATGACACAATGTGTTTAGAATTCAGAAGAATTAAAATCAACACAGGACATTTTGGATTACATGAATAAATAGAACAGCTGACACAAACATTTATGATCAAGTTTGATCTGAATCATCAGATTTAACATAAAGCTCAAAGGATCCAAATTATCCTCCTTGCAGAACTGAAAATCCAAAACCCATATCTGTATGTAACATACATTTATCCAAAGGTGCTTTTAGATAAATGTATTTGTGACACATTCACATCATTCAATTGTGCAAATCAAACGAGTTTTGTGTTCACCGGCACGGACTCAGACAAAAAAGTCTTTTTTCACACCACATCCTTTCAAGGTTAAACTAACCTTAAAATGTTTAGCTATTCATAAACTACAGAAGAACATGACACCCAGCCATTATGTAAATTATTTTCAACAGCCTTACTGGAAATGCAATCAACATGATCATCTGATATGATTTCATCTAAAAACAAAATTAGAATTTGTATTGTTCCCGTAATTCCAGTGAAACAATGACTACATATTTCTCAGGAACAGATCCACATCACAACAGTTCAACCTCTCATTGTTGTATACTAAGTAGATTACATTCCCTCAGGGATTGCTGAGATGTCCTGTTAATTCCTTTTTTCTTACGTTTATGTTGTTTCTCCAGCGTCATGTTGACGTTGTTGACAGAGCTCCCCAGAATATTGTAGGCTTCCACAGACACGATGTGGAGCTCCTGATTCCACTCAAAGCTGTAGGAGGACACCATATCGATCTGCCTCCTCAGCACAGATCCATTCGAGGCCTGGTGCTGGACAATAAATCCATCCACACAGTAGGTATTCCAATTTGCTGAGAAAGACTGGAAAACAAAGGAAAGGATTCATTCTGCTGGTGACTATTACACTCTAATCAATATTTTTAATTAGAAGCTCACACATCTGAGGTCTCCAACCTTCTGACCTTGTCAATGATTATCAATACTTTTATAGGCAAAACTATGTGCAGAAACATTCTCCAATCCTACAGTCATAAAATCAACAATTGAGGCTTTTGTTGGCCTAAAGCAGGGGTGTCAAACTCCAGTCCTAAAGGGACTTAATTTACCCCCAAATATTGCTCAGATCTCTTCTGGTCTAGTCTTAAGCCAGTATTGTGTACCATCTTGCCTCATGACATTGGAATGTAGGTTTACATCCCAATCCATATGCTTTGTTTACCTCAAACAGCAGAGTGATGTTAGACTGGTTTCTGTATGGGTCATCTTGACGTATTCTCCAGAAATCAGGCCCACGTTCAGGAGCTGAGGAAGAAATGCATCAGTCTAACATGAGACACCTTTTACTTTAGATGCACCAAGAAATTAGACTGGAATTGGACTTGTCTAGTTACTGGTGAGCTTTTGCTCTTGATGAGCCTTGATTGAGTGGCTGGAAACAACATTTGTGAGCCTGTGTATGAACTTTGCCTATCCACTGTCACAGCTTTCCGACTGTGAATGTAATTGTGGAGTTTTTAAGTGTCTGACTTCCACAGAGTAGGAACACACAAATTGTGTTGAGGCTGAGTTACACCTTACTCTTAGAAACAATTCAACATTTTATTTTTTGCCACACTGTTATTTCCAGTTGGACAAAAAAAGTGAAGAAAAATGTTACAGAGCTATAATTAGGCTTTGAAAATGAGTAAATTGGAAATACCGTAGTTTCTGGAGGACTTTACTGTGTTTGTAGATTTTTACTGAAAGAGAGATTTTCTGTTTTTCCAGAAAATAAAGATACTCTTGCTGCTTCTTAGAGAATCACCTAAAGTGGCAAGAGCAGACCAGATATTTGATAGCAGTTTTTGTTTCTTTTTGTTTTTGATTCCTTTGCTTGTGCTGCTTAATTTGAATCTTGTTTTATCTTCAAATGCTATTATATTAAAATGGAAACTGAGTTCATCAGTGAATCGGGTTTACCTCTGCTGTTTTGAGCGGTGGAGTGGACAGACTCACTCCATTCACTCCAGTATCCGATCCCACTGGAGTACATGCAGCGTACTTGAACTACGTAGATCTGGCACATGTCAGGTACCTCAACCTCGGCCCAGGAAACCCACAAAGGTTTCTCGAACTGCAGAGATTTATATAAATATATATTTTTTATGGGGGAAAACCAGAAACATTTCTAACAACTGGAAAAGGTGCTTGCTCATTGATTCAATTTATAGCAATTAAATAGGTCATACAAATCAGTACCAACAGGATTTTTGTACATTCCCGCAAAGATACATCATGTTTTCTGGACTATAAGCCTGCGGACTGACTACTGGTCAAACAAAACGTAATTGCTTTAGCTGCTCTGGTCTTAGGAATGAAATTTTCAATTGAAAGTCATCATCTGGTTCTTCTGTGCACGTACTCCTTCTGTTTCCCAAAGGTATGAGAGGAAATGAGTGTAAATCAGGAAGAGAACACAATTCATGGCATGAGTCCAATTTCCAGGAAGAATTTTCAACACTTAACTGGAAAGAGGTTTCATCAAAATGATTGTGACAAATAACTGAAGAAACTGAAATTTGATGAAATGTAGGGATTATTTAATACATTTGTTTTTTTTTTTCAACTTTAAAACTATTGGTTGGATCTAAAATTTGCTTCCACAGCAAAAAATTGGTAACAAGATTTTTCCAATCAGGTTTCTCTAACCATATTTGTAGTTAATAAGTATACATTTTTAAGAACTGTAAACAAGACACCATATCAAATATTATGCAAAGGTTTTGTTGGTGAAAGAGTGTGAAAAGCTCACCTTCCATTTCTCTAAAACACCGAGTAAGTAGTACCGAAGCTGACACTGCAGGCCTTCGACCGGCAGAGAAGGCGGTTTCCAAGTTACCCTCAGGATCCCACTGCTCCGGCTCACTGCCGTCACATCAGTGGGAGGGTAAGGTTTTACTGCAGATCGAGTGGGAAGAAGCACAGATACTCTATCTCGTAAAACTGAAAAAAATCATAAATTTATATTGTAGGATAAGCAGAACAAAGTATCAAATAAAACCGAAGTGAAAATGTAAAACCATTAGCTATTTATGCTCATTTTACAATAGATATTTTATAGCTCAAACATAGGTGTTTTCATTCATATTTGTCATGTTTGGCAATTTGTTGACTCGAGCAAATTGCTGTCATAGCTTTTAGTGTTTTATCATTCCACATATTTCAAAAGAATTCAACTGAGAACATTTTGTTTTAAAAATACAACAAAAATTTTGTGATGATATAAAATTATTTCAAACTCACAACTTTAAAATGATACTAAATAGACCTTTACAAAATACAGATTTCAACACCTCTTCCTTACCGTGATTTATGGGTGACACATAGACAGGTTTGCACCTGATGAGACCTAGGCGGGTATGCAATTCAAGCCACAGTTTGTAGCAATTCATCTTCAGAGGGTGGAAAGTGCAGACTTTCTCTGTAGATTTGACTGGCATGCATTCATGCCCCATCTCACCAACGTCCTCGCCACTTCTCACCCTTTCCTCCATCTCGTCACATGACATCTCAGCACTCCTATGCCATAAACAAAGACACACAATAGAAGCTTTATTTTATGCAGCGTAGTGGTCTGATTTTGTTTATAAGAAACTTTATTAGTACAAGAGCAGCAAGATGACATCAGTGTGTTGCGCCAGAGGTTTGACTGTTAGTTGTGCTAAGAAGCTAACTGTGCCATGATCAAAGGATTGTAATTTGACAGACTAAAAGCCTCTCGTTTGTCATGAGGTAAATTGTCATTGGTGAAATGTTAAAGGTTCAATTTTATGCTTAAATTTTTGTTGGACATTTTAAAGTAAAAAAAAAATAAAATAAAATATTTGCATGGGACAAAGATTCTGTGCTATAAATTCTGTGTCTAAAAAAAGTCTGATTCCAATGAGACTATTTATTCCACATGTGGTGATGGATCAACAACCCGGGCACCAAACAGATTAGGATCATCTCTGCCACTTGTAAAAACAAAGGTCACTGCAAAGAACATGGAGTGTTTTAAAATGCATCCGTACTTGGACCGCAATTTGACTATTTCCCACTCTTTATTCTCCCATCTGCAGGTCATAGTGTCAATGTCACCATTGGTTACACAGGTGATGTTGATGAATCCTCCTGAAACACACAACACAACAGCATATTAAATCACAGACAAATATGCTGCAATTAGATTAATTTGATTGTCCAACTACCAAATGTTTTCCTCAAACTTCTGCAGATCACTGCCTTCTAGTAACAGGTTATTAGTAGTGTCCAAAGTCAGTCCTTAAGGGCCTCTGTCCTACATGTTTCACTTTTTTCTTTGGTTAAACATCTGAATCAAATGATGTTTCATTAGCAGACCTCTGTGAACTTTATCACATGATGAGAAGGTATTGGAACCATTTAAGTCAGGTGTACTGCAGCAGAGACACATTTAAAGATGGCAGGATATTAACCCTAAATTTCTGAAGACTGGAACAGGACATTCTTGATTTATGATAGAATAAGTCAATATAATTCAGTTGACTTTTTATTGCTGTAACAAAACTCACCTTCCACATAGATCTTGCTATAAGGAATATTCCACTCCTGTGTGCAGGTCAGTAGGTCATACAACCCAGTTTCTGAAGCTGTGAATGTGATCTGGCTGACCTATGTTAGATTTAAAATATGTAAAACAATACATGTCCAGAAAGATACATGTCATGTTCAGACTGTGTTGTTTAAATAGTAAAAAACAGATGAATAATCCAAACTTTAAAGCATTTGATACAGAGTGCTTTTTCTTACCCGCTGGTTGACAGGATGATACAAACTGGGATCAAGTGGCACCATTCGGTTGAGGGACCACATGGCCATACTTGCGTTGGCGCTCTGGCCGTTTAGCACACAATAAACTGTTACATTATCACCGGCTCGCGCCACTACCTTTTGAGGAATATAGCTCACATCTGCACACAGGGAAAAAATTAAAATATACATATTTTAAGTTTTTTATACATGTAATTTTTCCCTGAAAATGTGAACTAATACAAGATGCAATAAGCTGTTACACATTTTACATGTCAAGAAAAGAAAATTCTGAATTTCTATGTTTGTTTATTATGCATGCATCTAAATTCACAGTGGATTTATAGATTTCAACAGGATTATGGCAAGTACGAAGTCTACAAAAGCCACAGTTGTCAAGACATGGAAGGATTAATTGATGAATTCAAGAACTAAGAAGATTAGAGAACTTTTTAAAAAAAGGTTTTATTGGCTCTAGTGGCTTTTATTTAATAGTGAATTGACAGGAAAGTGTGTAATAAGAGAAGGGGGAAGACATGCGGCAAAGGTCAGCAGGCCGGGAATCGAACCTGCGACAGCCGTGTCAAGGACTAACACTTAGTCCTTGAGTGCTTAGTACTGGCCTTATGTGGGTTGTTCTTAAGCCCAGTGCCACCACAGCACCCCAGAGAACTTTTGACAAATATCAGGACACTATAAGAAAGGCAAATGGGTCGAATCAACTCCAAATGAATGTGATTCAGTTACATCCAGTTGATAAGAAAAGAGTTTAATTCGCTCATATCTCCTGTCGGTTTGTGGTTCTAGTGGGAATAAACCAAGTTTCTCCAGTCATTTTAGTGAGGATGAACAGAGTTTGGGGAGGACTTACTGACATACGATCCCAGACTAGTTTTTTAAAACACTTCATCTCTGATTTGTGGTTATTGAATCCAGAAATGTTTAGTGTCTTAGGTAAGGGATCGCTGTGGGATTTCAGGCAGAAAGGAGCAGCAGCCAGAGCAAGTAAGTGAAGACTCTAAAGACAAATCTAATGTTCCTCTATAGGGAGGGCCCTGTTGCTGTGGGTTGTTCGATGCTGAGTAGCCTTCGTTAGCCTTTCCTCAGAAAACGTTCAAGAAGATGTTCAGCTCTTTCCATGAAGCCAGGCTGCAGCTGCTAGGTTGACCACGTAATTGGTGAAGTACTGGATTCTTTGCCACACCTGCCTGTGGTTGTTGTTCTTTAGGCAACGGATGCCAATCTGTCAGCACATTGTTACCTTCTGTTTTGTTTTGCTTTGCTTTGTACTGACAGGGACTTACGATTGAAACACCTGTTGTTTGTGTTGATGTCTTTAAGTTTTGTCAAACACTTAAAGCCACTCATGTTTGAGCCGAGTGACAGTAAACATAAAATGATGACGAAAAGCATAGCAACTCAATATGGGGTGCATAGAGTTCTGTTTCTACATGAAACATGTTCATTTAGGCCACTAAAGCACAAGGCAGCAGTTTTCCTCTAGTAAAACATATACTGGTATTTTTTATGTTTTTGCCTCTTGAGCCATTGAGTTAAACAACGGCACAATTTTACCTGCTGTCTTCATTTGCAGTAATTCAACTGATTGCACAACATCAACCAGGTATGTGCACCAAAACATTAATGTAACATTAAAGAAAATGCCAAGATAAATCTATTATATATGGTGTAGCGTGCATGACACTGTGAAATGCTTCTGAATGATCTGAATCCTTCTTAAAATGCTCCAGGTAATAAGCAATAGTTCAGAAAGTACATAATAAATGATGACATAAGGGTTAATTGATGCATTTTGACTGCTTTACATGGACATCAACATCCCCAGAGACTTCTGGAGCCAATCAAATATTTTTTTAGTTTTAAAAAGCAAGTTCAAGTCACACCAAAAGCCCTTGGTCTCTTGCCTTTGCCTAAGGGTTCTTTCTTTAAATGCCAAAAACAAAATCGGAAACAAAGTGCAGGCATTTCAGATCCCAACAGTCAGAATCACTAGTTTTGGTTCCAACATAACTCAAAAAGTTCAAGGGGTATGAATGAAAAAAAATTATAAAAAATATTTTCAAATGAAACTAATCTACAGAAAAAAAAAAAAAAAAAAAAACTAGCAGTCCTCACTGTTCAGGTAGATATGGTAGGGGTCGCTCCAGTCGCTCCACAATAGAGGCTGAGTTTGAGTGGTGCAGCGGACCTGGATGGTGTACTTCAGTAAGGGTTTCAAATCCAGTGAAACTTTGGGCTTTTCAAGTGCAGACACCACCTGGAAAAAAGTAGACAGGATGATCACAGACATCCATCCAAGTGAAACTAGATTTCAGCAAACGACTACCCACCTGCCAGTTTTTGTGGGTGTTCTTGTTGGTATTTTCGTGGGAATATCGGATTTCATAGGCAGGTAAATTATCACTGACGTCTAATGGCTCTTTCCACCTGAGAATGAGATCTCCCTCCACAGTCTGAATATGGGACAGGTTGAATGGGGGACTTGGTTTCACTGTAAAATAAATAAATAAAAAAGTTTATAAAGAACACAATGTTGAAAAATCTATGAAAGAGTATCAGTACAAAGATGTCATAATTGTTTCCAAATTACAATTATAGTTATATTGGACAATATAGTAAAAAGCACAAGAGCATTCAATTTTCTTTTAAGATTTGAAAAGTAGAATAAAGCATAAAAACACTGAATAATCTCTACTAATTACAGGTGTTTATGATTGCTCATGCTCAGTGAAAAACATCTTATTTGTAGTAAAAGCGGTCTTTGGAAAATAACGACCGTACATTTTTTACATTCTGTAAAAAATGTACTTTTATATAAATTTTAAGTAATCTAGGTTACATTTAATTATGTTTGGCTAAAAGATGATTTCTGAAAATGTACATAAAAAGCAAAAGTCAGAAGACTAGAAAACAATAATGGTGGAGAAATGCACAAATATGTTTTATGCAAGGCTTCATGAAATTTGAATAAATTCAAATCTATTCCAGAATATTGATGTACAGTTATGTAGGGCTAGATAAAAAGCCCAACTACTGCTGTTTCGCAATCCAAACATAAATGCTGGCAGTATCCTATATCCCTGTACTAACAAGAAAGACTTGCTATTATCTTTTAGTATTAAGAATCAGTGCACATACGCTAAACACCTGAATATTTGAATAAACAAAATAACGAGGCCAAGTAATTCAGCTTCACATTATTCAAAGGTTAGGATTTAATTTAGAGAACAACAAGTGCCTCGTATTTCCACACTCACAGTTCTGCGTACACTGACTTAATAAATAAATAAAAATCCCATTGTCACACAGAGCAGACGTGCACAGCATCAAAAATATTCAAATAGAAAAACCATTACTGAATACTCCATTGACAATATCAATTACATTTAAATCAACATATTCCAGACACTTTGCTAGTAAATACATACAAATCCATAAACACATATAATCCTATTCAAAACCAGAACTATTTCTCACTGTATATATTTGCTGCTTAGATAAACTAGCATAAAAAAACTATTTCACTTCCACTTGTTTTTTCCCATTTTTTAAATACATTTTTAGTTGATTATAAAGGATAGTTGTCACATTCATGGTGGAAAATGTTTCACATCACAAACATCTAGCAATAAATGGTTGCTAGGTGTTTACACATTTGAGACTCACTGGATATTGACATGGACATTGAGCTGAACACATAACTAGTGTGTCTTCTCCAGACAACTCAAACATTCGTAATGGGAAAGCCTTTTTCACCCAACAGGTTCATTTTTACATGCAATCTTAGTCGATGCAGTGTTACTGCCTTCTCAAATGCAGCTTAATTCAGCTCTACATGAGACCTTTTAAACATTACTTTGTTTCTCATGTTCTAAAAATCCTAATTTTTCAGAATCTGCATGCTGTGTGCCAGACAGCAGTTGTTTGTCTCATTTATTCTGTTGTAGTAATAGCTAATTCAACAGGGTTTTCATAAGGCACAGGAGGATGAATATCACTCACCCATAGGCCTAAGCTAAGCATTTGTTTCCATGACATTACATATATATTTAAAAGGCATGAGGGGTTTTCAGAGGGCATGTTGATGAAAACAAAATGTGTTTTGTTTCCTGATTTTCTGCACTTTAATTAAGTGATATTTTTTACAAAACTGAAGAAAAGTATTGTCACGGAAAGGAAACAGAAGTAGTCAAAGATCACAGAGGCACTAAGACTTGCTGCTTTAATCAGTGGTATGTCAGGCTTAACAAAAGTGTACAATTTTGGTTCATCTATCCTAAAACCAACCACCTGAAGAGGGTGAATTTTGTACTTGTACTATCTAAAAAATGCTTTAATATGCAGCAAACCAGTGGATATATTTTCTGATAATAATTGAAGCTGACTGCTTGAACAAACAGTGCATGTTAAGTCTTTGTTTATCACTGTGTAGATCTCACTGCTTCACTGTGGCCATGCACTTGAAAATGCCCAAGGCTATCACCAGGCAGCTCTAAGCTGTATTCCATTCACGCCTGCAACTTTATATGTCCTGATTCAGTGCTTATAGGGTGAATGGTCCAGAAGAAAAAACATCAGCAGTCCAAACACAGAAGGTTTAAGCTCAGAACATAACCTCGAAGCTCTTGACCTTTGAAAAAGGATCATTGATGGGAACTTCCCGCTTTTATCCTTCACAGTAATGAACATAAAGAAACATGGTTGTACATTCAAAATAGCAAAAATGAGCTTTAGTTTTTAAGTACGCTGCTGCTTCAAGGCACGATTTCTCAACTCATCCATTATACAAAGAGAGTCTATTCAGTATATCAACCCCTTCAGATAAAATAAGTCCCATGAAAATCTAAAACTATTTACCAATTGGTAAAATGATTCAAATTTTGCGATTGTGAGGTTAGACAAACACACAAGCACCATGCAGCTCCCCTTGATTAAAACTATTATGTATGATGTATGGCTAAGTGGTAAAGAGATAATACGCAGAATTCACATTCTTAGATCACCGAGGCTTTTTATCATCTTCTGAGGTCCCTGAAACTTTCCTGTGAATAACACTGATTATTCCTTCTTCAAATGGAATAACTTAAGCCTGATTCATGTCTTTTTTGCTCACTTGCAGTCGATGTGCTCGAAGCAAGAAAAAATAGCTGGGGCTCATTTCAGTGCTCATGACCTAAGGGGGTCCAAAGCTGGGTAAGTGATTCTGTATGTGTGCGTGGGGATCAGGGGATGTCCCCCTGTGACCTGATCAAAAAGACAAACTGCTGAAGCCCAAAGTGCCAAAGAAGTCCATTCCTTGATGAGTTGGTGCTATTCTGGCAGCAAAACAGTGGACTGTTGAAATATTAAGCTAGGAGTCATAATGTTTACCTTATTGGTGTGGTTTATTGACTCAAAAAATAAAACTTATCCCATTCACTGACTATAAAGCGGTATTAGTTAAATAACATTTATCTGTCAAACAAATGATACAACACACTTTTTGTTTATTTGTTTTTCTTTCTTACCAGATCTGGGAGAAATCCTCAGCAAAACCGGTGGAACCAAAACATTGGAGACATTGACCGTTAGCCGAACGGCAAAGATTCTTGTTGAATTGAGATGAATGGAGCACATGAGTGAATCCTCTGCATCACACACAACCTGATGTTCAGACGCATGGTAATCTGTGACGTTTTCCGCAGAGCTGGAGGGAGGAGCAAATTTTATGATGAGGACTTTGATCAAAGATGTTGAAGATGTTACAAACTAAATGTTCTCGTAAGTCTCACAGGTGGCAAACAAAATAAAAGTTAACTTTGATAGGAACATTTCCAAATCATGTGACAAAAAAAGTGGCTGTGAGTAATTTCAAATGTTTTGAAAATAAATAAAAAATATATAAAATAGCACTCTTAGGAGGTGTGCATCATATTCCACGCTGTATGAGGTTGGTTAACTGTGCAGTGATTTAGTTTCTTTGTTCACGCCACTATAGCAGCCTGAAACCAGTGTTATGCCTCACATCTTCCCCATCACTGACCAAAGTAAACAACTCTGAGCAGTCAGGAAACACTCAACCACAAACAAGTACATATTCAGGCACTCTCCAAAACCAGAACACAAGTTTATACTTACATCTGCTGGAGGCTGATGTAAGATGACAGGCCACCGGACTTAAGATCACAAGTTAAATTTGACCACGATTCATCAAATCTGCACTGTATGTCCAAACAGGTGCCTGACAAGAAAACACATTTGCAGATTACCGCTTTGTGACCTGCAGCTGAAGAATTTTTTTTAAAAATCAGCAAACATGTTGAAATCTGAGAAGAAATGAGAAGCTACTCAAAGTACCAGTTGAGGTTAAATAACTTGTTTCCAGCTGAATGATAATTGCAGATTCAGCAAATATCCAAGAGGAGGCTCAGTCAGGTGGTGACTCAATACTATGATGTTTTGACTGATTTTAAGGCGTAAGTCACTTTTATATAACAACAAACTGTACATAGTAATCTTATCCTGATAAAAATGGGTGTATTTGTCCAATTTGCAATACATCTAAAATTTTGATAGAAGTATGAAAGTAAGTACAAGTCTTACATTTAGTGCAGTTGGGCCACTGACATTGTAACTAAGACAAAGTCAACTTCTTTGGATGAAGTGCTGAAAAGCAAAGAGATGTCGAGACATGCTGGAACACAGAAATGTTTTTCTTTTCAGCTTTTAACCTCTGTTGTTAAACATACGGGATTTGGAAACATTTCCAAATCCTGCATGAAGGATCTACGTTCTCCAAGGAACATAGATGGAAACTTTCAACTTTTAACCAACTGTAACATTGACATTTTAACCATTAACATTTTAATCAGCTGCTTACATCTAAGCAGCAGATTTTTATTGCCGCTTAGATGAACATTACGTAAACATGGGATCTTTCCTGTGATCCCTGTTCGTGGTTTTAAGTTCAGCTGTTATCCCAAACCATTTACGGGTCTGATAAAGCAGTTAGACACACAATGAGAGGCTTTAATTGTTCGCCATTAAACTCTGAGCTCTTGTGCATCACAGCTTTTTACAGATTGACGTGAAGAAAACCCACAAGCTTCTCCACCACAACATGTGCAAAATGAGCTGAGTATTTCATAATTATGACTCAACTGAATGGATTCCTGTCTCCCGTGTAAACTCACTGAACCTTCCTATCTCCTCTCCACTGAAAGCAACCAAACAGTGCTTGCATTGTAAATTTATTTATTTTATTTTCCTTTTTTTTTTTTTACTAAAGAAAGAACAAGTAATACTCCAGAAAGGTCATGTCAGGTTGATGTTTGGAACATTTCAAAGGCAAAAAAAAGAGTCATTTGACTTGCTAGTTAAGTCTGTTGAACATATAATCATCCAAAACCTGCCTGTGCCTGCCAGCACAGCATGTTGATCACACCAGACTTTGATGTTGCAGTCAGAAACAGAACAACAAGATAGTTTCTCTTCACAAGATAAGTTCTTTTAAAATTATGAACTTGCTTTCAGTATTTTCAGCACTTTCTTACAGCCTTGGTACAAACTTTGCAATAAATGCATTTTTTAGCAGTTGTAAAATGTTCCATTGAGAATATTTTTGCTAATCAACTCTTTGCTAACAAGTTGTTTGGGAGGCAAGACTCTATTGTCCTACTATCACAAATAGAAAGATGTAGAATTTATTAAATGCTTTTGGGGCTTTAACTGAAACGTATTCGTTGGTCATATCAGATTAAAATTGAACTTTTTAGCAATTTTATGAGGGTTTGACATGAATAAAGAACGAATGTGTAGAAAAGGAGAGGTTAAAATATTTGTGTTTTTGTTCACAGAGGAGTGTACCTACAACTGTGTGCTGTGGTCAGGTGAGATTAAAATAACACCTGAGATAGGTTTGGTGTTAAACAGTCAATGAATACATGTAAAAAATACTTCAAACCTACAGTGGAGACCCTAAGTGCATAGCATCGTAAACTCTGATTGGAACATTTCACTGCCAGACAAACAGACAATAATTTAACATAAACTCTTACCACCTAGAGATACTAGAGGTTTTGATTCAGCTGAGGAGCTCCTAAATTTGCAGCGTGGAGACTGTGGGAGGTTTAAATCAGATTGGCTTGTCCCTTCTTCTATATAAGCGTTAGCAGAAGGTGAGTCACAGCACACCTCATCCTGCCAGGGGACTTCCAGGGCGCCTGTATGAATGGGAGCTCCAGGTCGCAAACACTGAAGAGCTAAACACAAAAAGAAAAGAGAGTAAAAGGGCCAACAGTTTCAACAACAACAACAACAACAAATAGTTGGTGGCTTTTTATATTCTGAAAGATTAGGTCATTTCCAAAGGTCAGGTATTTATTTTTATTTATTGTATAGCCTATAAGTTTGCCTTCTAAATAATTGGGGAATGGCTTGTATTTTGTATAACATTTTTTTTTTATTTTATTGCCCCAATCTCTCACTCATTCCCAAGTGGATTTAAATCTGGACTTTGACTTGGCCTTTCTAGTACGTTTTTGTTTTCAGCCATTAACTTGCTTCAATTTGACTCTTTGCAACAATTTAACTTCTTATGAATGTGGGTCTTTTATTCAGCTTTGAGAGTATCTATGGTGCTTGATTTTTTTCTCCCAGTAATGTTAAAAGTTGCAATTAAAATCCATATGTCCAAACTTCTTAGAAAAACACAAAGCATGTAAGTAGGATACCATAGTTTTCCACTTGACAACAGACAAGTTTGAAGAATTTAAGACATAAAACAAGATTCATTTTATGAGTCCATATGGAAATATCAAAATTCAATAATGATAAATGGTGCAACCTAATGCCGAGAATCCAGTTGGTCTATTTTGCCAGACAATGAATGATTGCTAAAATTCTCTTACTAAACTTAAACCATAAGACCACGTCATTATAAGATGTAGCAGAGATGTGACTGAATGCAAAAAACACATGGTTATTTTAGACAGATTCTGACTTCTGTACTCCACATATAAGTGCAAAGTTCTTCATTCAAAAAACACAAATAAAATTTAAGAAAACATCCAACAACATTACACTGGAAACTGGAAACTCACCAAGCAGCATCAGGAGCACGTGAACCAGGACTGTCAACATTACGGACCAAGTCCTGGAAAGACACACAAGCTGGAAAAGTTACTTAAGAACAATGCTTAAATAAAAACAGACAAACAGGTGTGCCACAGTGATCAGCATTGTACCAGGAAACCTGCATTTACTCAGGTATTCTAATGATTCATTTTAAATCAAGTGTATGCTTGTAAAGTCCTGCTAATACAGGCAGTAATTTAAAGTGTAAGATTCCTCTGTGTTGAGGTGCCAAGAAAGACGATGCCAAGTTCAGACATTTTCAGACTTCAGTACATTTACAAATCAAGGCTGACCACAAAAAAAATAAGTAAATAACTGTAGTCTTTACAATTCAGCTTCTTTTATGAGGAAAGTATGACAAGACTTCAAAACAGATTTAGTGATGTTTCTTCTTCAGCTGAAGAGATGCCAGCCCAGCATGTTCAGCTCATGGTGCCGCATGGAAGGAACTTATCACAGTAATCTTTGAAATTACAACATTTATAAAAAGTCTTGTTCATTGTAAGGACCACCATTTGAGACACAGCTTGCATGTTTGTTTGTTTTTTGTATACCTCTGAATTTCATTGTGTTGTTATGACAGGAAGGACCACACTGAGCCAACAGCTTATTTTAAACATTGATCTCAAATGCAAACTTGGTTTGTTGACATGGCTAAAAGAAAATCTAGCATCATAAAGAAGTTGGAGCAGGAAAGAGTTGGCTGAGTGGATAAACTGAAATTTTGGAATATGACACTTTATGCTTTAAGGAAGGTAAATTATCCCCCTACCCCCAACTTAAAATGTGTCTGGTTAACTTATCGGCATTCATATTCCTGGAATTATATGGTATAGGAAAATATGTGTTCTCTTCAGAAGTGAAGACAGCATGTTTGTACCTGTCATGGTTTTTTTCAAGTTTAAATTTCAAGTGTCATAACTTTGCAGGAAAGAAAGTGATTAGAACATTGTTCTAAAACATCTCATTCAAATGATTGCACAATTTGCTATAAAGTACTGCAGAAGCCTGTTAATCACCCACTTATTCAACTCAGGTGTGTGGGAGAAGACACACGCCTAAAACATTCAGGCAAATGATTTGTGAGGACCGGAAATAAGAAACACGTACTGTTTTGACGCTTAATCCTTCTCACTGTCAAAGTTGCTACAGAAAATCTGGGTTTTTGATGATGTCTGTGCCACATTTCAAGCCCCAATCAGAAAATCATTCTATCAGAGAACCACCAGGTTCTGATGTCATAGCACTAATTTCTGCTAGACGTTCTCCATAAGAAAGCATAACCCAGCTAAAAACTGTATGCAGTGTCTTAATTGAGAAAATCTTCCACATACACAAGTACGTGCATGTACAATTATGTTGAATTGTGTGAGGATAACACAATTCAATGCAAATTTAAATGGTTATGCCAAACACATTAAATCTTTTCACATTATATCATGGTTTTCCATTTTGGTTTTAGAAATAAAAATATGATAAAATTCTTTACAATTACAACTATGGGTTACGTCTCAACCTTTGAACTCATGGAAACTGTCATTTTTTACCAGTTCTTTCTAAAACTGCTCATATTCAGTCAGGTTGGATGCCAGATTTGAATCTGAACTGACGAGAAGGTCTTTGACTGGGCCACAACATGAAAATGCTTTGATTTATATAATTTCATCATAACTCTGGCTGTTAGTTTGGGGTTTCTGTCATCTTGGAAAGAGAACCTCCACACCAGTCTTAAGTGTATTACAGTCTATAACAAGCTATTTTTCAACATTGCCCTGAATTTAGCTCTATTGATCCTCCTATAAACTCTGTCCCAATTCCCTGTTCTGGCTGAGGAAATTGAGCAAGTACGTAAACTTTATGTAGAACCTTTCACATGTCAAAAACCACAAAGCTTTACAATAAAAACAAGCATAAAAAATAGGAAATAATACAATAAAAGATGAAACATCAAGTGTAATGTTATATTGCATAAAACTAGCAAAAAGCCTGTCTATATTTAAAGAATCTTCAGATGAAGGCAATAGTTCAAAAGGATTAATTTTCTTTGGCCCTAAAATGCATTTGTGGGACCATTAACTACCCCAGTTTTTAGAGGGATGGTGTGTTCAGGATGAAGTGCAGTATTAGCAATGTTTACTGTGTCCCCTACATGGCATTTGGAAAACTGCAAACAAAAATTAAGGTTTACCCACAGCTGGAAAAATCTGAACTTTTCTACTCTCCGTACAACACTTTGGTCAAACTTAAGAGTTTTATGAACGTCAGGTTTACGGTGCAAACAGAATCCTTGATCTGTGCTAAGGATCTCTCGATGTATTACTGATTAATAAGTTCTTGCAAACCCTGTCAGGTTAGGTGGATGCTCATATTTTGGCAGGTTTGCACTCTACTTTTGCTATTTTTAGATGATGGTTTGGACAGAGCTTTTTGAGATGTCCTCAGCTTGTGACGACATAAAAGATGGGAACTAAATTAGGGTAACAAGCTTCACCTGATAGAGACAATTTATATAGATCAATGTGTAGGCAGCAGACAGTTAGGTCAGGAGCAAATTTTCAAAGTACATCTACCTAAGAATATTTGGGTGCCTCCAAATGGTTTAATGACTTTTCCTATAAATTCTGGTCTGGGTCAATTGAATTTGACCCAATATATAAAAACTAGTGCAGGAATCTACTCAAAGACTTATGTAAACATCATAATTCATATGATTCCTCCTAAAACAGACTGGTAAACTTTCTCATACTGTTGAGATTAGAATTTGACAATCCTCTAATAACATTCCCAGCTGATTTGCAACACTTCCCACACAGGTTTAATCTGATCACAGAAAGAGTCACAGTATAAACAGGAGTGCAACATTTCTGCCAAACAGATCAAATATCACTGTGTCTTAAATAACAGAATATTATTTCTGGGACATAACTGCAGATTGAATTTATTGCATACTGTTAAGAAAAGAATGTGAGTAATAAGAAAAACTGTTTTCTAATAGAGCAGGTGTACAAACTTTGACGCTCTGTTAGAAAGTTTGTACACCTATATTGTTACAATTTACATTGTAACAATATAGATTATTGTTACAATTTTTTTTATTTTTTATTTTTATTTTGCAGGCACAACAACATTGAGGGTGCTCCCACCGAGCCTTCATACGTTGTCGCCAAAGTCCCAATAACAGAAAACTGTCAATAGATTTCTTGCTGCCATTTTTATATATAAATGCATCACACAGCAACATGTATTTTGATGCTACTTTTTTTGTGAAATAAAAAACAGAAAATACAACCACAAAAAACAAACAAACAAACAGAGAAATAAAGCTTAGCTAAACATACCGTATGTCTGGGGATATTTTTGTAATGCCTCATTTCTATGTAGAGATTGAGATTATAGATTATATGAAGGTTCTCATTTAGAAACCAATATTTACTTTCAGGTATTCGACACTAGTTGAGATAGCCTACATGTGAATTTATGCATTTTTATTTTTACTTTTTCTTTGTTTGTTTCACCTGTTTTCTCCTAGTCATGTCTTTATGGTACAGTATTTTGGCCAGATGCTGTTCTTACAAAAAAATTTTATGTTCAAAGTGATATGCTTAGTTTATGAAACTAGAAGACAATCCTTTGTGAGTTTTCTCCACCTATGACTAAATAATAAGTCACATTATCAACAAGTCGTATCAAAACAGCAAGGAATGAGTTTATTTTATTCTGTCATCTCACTAAACCCTCTTTGTGCAGAGTTCCATAGTAGATAAAGATCTGCATTTCTTCATGACTGTTGAAGCTGTAATCATTGAGTCAGATAGTTGTTTAGAAATAAAGCACACACCCATTCACATTTACACACCGGTTGAAAAATCCAAAAGGTTGAATACAAGCACAGGTTCTTATCTCACAGTAACCACTCTACCTTGATGCCAGATTCAGTCCTAATGTACTCAAGGGAATAAGTCAATTAAGACGCCATCATTGAAGAACAAAGTTGCCCTAGCAGATATAGGCAAACCGGCTTATTGTTAGATGTATGTCTAAGGACACAAACTTGTGTTTTTGAAGTGCTGTTATAACACAAGTGGAGGGGTCTGTCACTGTGTTTAAAGAAAAGCATCTGTCTGCATCCAACTATGGCAGACCATGCACTGCTGATCACATGCGGTTTCAAATGCAGTGTGTGGCAGCTCTAACTGTTCAGTTGTCACAAAACAACACACAATAAATTTTCTTCTACGTAACTATTACAGACCAACATGTTTTTTACAACTAAAACAGTGGCTATTTTCCAGTTTCACAAGAGGATCTGCCCCTCTGGTGTGTGCAGCTATTTCTCATCTGCACTCTGAGTCCCTCTGACTCCATGACACCGAGAGTGAGCTTTTTGACAGTCCAATGATTCGTTTTACATGAAAATCAGGGGAAATTCTGACTTTCACACATGCAAGAACGCATAGAAAATTTAACTGATTTGGAATGATAAAGTACTATAAAAATGTTGAAATATACAGAAAAGTTCTGAGAATTTTAAAACTGCATAAAATTAAAAAAAAAAATTAAATGACTAATTATCCTACAAGGGCCAATTCCAAATCACATATTACAGACTCAAAGGTTATATAGCTCGAACAGTTGGACTGATGAAATTAATCAATACTACTAAACACGTAAATACTAATACTAATAAGATAAGAATAAGAATAAGAATAATACGATTTGTGCACGCAGAATTTAAAAAAGAGAGTGTGGGTAAAGAAACATGAGAGACATAGAATACACTCAGACTGTAATTAAATGTTAAATAGTTCGGGTTCTTACGTCTTAATTGCTGGGAAGCTTCATGAAGGTTTTCTTTTTGCCAAGATCAGCCGGGTGAGTTAAATCCGCCGCGCTGCTGCCGCAGCTCACGCCCCGCTGACAGATAAGGAGCTCAGTGCGAGGAAAGTTACCACGCAGCAGGTGCTACTGGGTTGACGTGTTGAAGAGAGAATGAAGATTGGAGGACTGAGGGGAGGAGGA